TCATGTTTCTTCCTGTTCCCAAAAACCAATCTGAATCTTGTAATTTAAAACACTTGTCGTTTTTTTCCCCCCCCCCCCCCCCCCCAGCCCACCCCCCCCCCCCCCCCCCCCCCCCCCCCAATTCATCTGTTTCAATGAGACCATTCACGTTCAGCATTGAGACTCGGTAAGGGACCGCAATACCTCAGCAGACCGTAACACACCGTAATACAGAGGCACTCACCGACAGTTGAATATATAAACACGGCTTTCCTACTTTGCTGGGTTCTCTTTTCTCCTTTGCTCCCATATCCTCCTCATTTACTATAACGAATACCACACTGGTTCACAAGGGAAAGCTCATTTTACACCATCAACAACTACATAACAGTCTTGTTACATACCTGAGCTATCATATCGCTACAATAATTGCTTATATCATACCCTCAAGATGACTTCAGAAGATCAACAGACATTTGGCATTGAACTGGAGTTCATAGTCTTTTACACCACGCTAGACCATCCCTCATCTGCCGGTAACAGTGAGCGATATGGTCCGATACTCGAGGCGCCGTTTCTGTCCAGCTTGGGGTGGTGGTACTTGGTCAACGGACTACGACAGCTTCTGGTGTTGTCAGGGAACAGGCGTCGAGACCAACACCAAACTAATGGACTCAATCTACGCTTATGATTCATCGTCTGTCTACGTAAATCTATTCACGCCGTCGAAACTGAATTGGTCACAACGTGGCGTAACCATCACTCAGACTACGACGTTCCCCGTTGGGGACACGACAACATTGACAGTTGGCGGCTCAGGCAACTGGGCAATGAACATACGAATCCCATCATGGACTTCCAATGCCACAATTTCCATAAACGACCAACAGCAGTCCGTTGCCACTACACCAGGATCTTATGCTACTATCTCACGTACTTGGAAATCCGGGGACACCGTTACAGTGAAGCTACCCATGCACCTCAGACTGGTCATAGCCAACGATGACAAATCTGTAGCTGCCGTCGCGTATGGTCCGACAGTGTTGGCAGGTAACTATGGCAGCAGCTCTCCAAACGGCACTCCGACATTGACGTTGAGCTCCTTGAAACGTAAGAGCACCTCCAGCCTGGACTTCACTGCCACGGCCAACGGCGCAGCAGTGACCCTCAGTCCATTCTACGACGCTCAAGGGTACAACTATGTCGTGTACTGGTCTGTCTCTGGCTCTCTTCCAATTAGCAAGGAGGCGTTAATTTATTCTGGTGTCTCTTAAGTTGCTCGTTCGGGATATTGTCTTTGGCTTTGTGAGTGCCCCCTACACCCAAGGATCGGTATTCAGGTATGATATCAGCATCACTTTTATCGTGCAGATTCTCTTCCCCAGCTATCATCTCTTCATTTTATACTTCTTCTCTTTTCTTTTTGGCTTCTCTTCATAAGATCACACATGATCCAGCTACGAATCAGAGCGGCGTACTTTCCGTTCTGAGCTATCTCTTGGCAGGCCGGTCGTCCGACTGTATCTTCAAAACGTCATTAGCCTAAATGAGAATCACGAGGTCCTTTATATCTATGGATCTTTCCAGATACTACCACAATGCATGTTGATTAAAGATGCATTGCCCGCCATGCGCTCGGTACCGTGATAAGGAAGGTCTAGATTACTTAGTCCTAGTATCTTCTTTCAGCTACCTGGATCGCGGGAAGCTCAAGCTTAAATAGCTTACCATTCTACGATATCAACCAGATATTGATCAGGATAGCACTATATTCTATTTTTAACCCTTTAGCGGAACATTGCCGATTTGTCTACCCGTCCGAGAGGCAATTTTTGCATATATAAATGAGGACCGTCTTACTATAGCAACGAATATGCCCACAATTTGGATGAACGTAAAGGCGAAATCAATTCCTTAACAGCTAATAGAGGATTCAAACATTGCTATTTTAAAAATTCAATACAGTAAAGACAAGGTTTCACAGAGTGAGAAATGCCACTTCAGACGTTTGCTATATTGAGCCTTCTGGCTCTTGGAATCTCAGCTAGCGCGCGGATTGAGACAACACAAAGTCTCTATGGACAATGTGAGTGAATACGATACTTGATAATGAAGCGAAGCTGACATGATATAGGCGGCGGTTTATCGGTGCGTAATTAATGCATCGGTTTCAATACATACATCTCAATATTCGGCGAAATTCCCAGGCCCCATGACGCCGAGCTCAGAGCTATGACTGACGTGCCTCCATGCAGTATAACGGCCCAACCAAATGTCCAAAGACCGCGACATGTTACAATGATGGGACAAAGTTAGTAGCCATGCCCATAACATTTATTTGATACTCACATTCGTGGTCAGCCCCTGGTATTCACAGTGTGTCATTACTCCATGGGACAACGGCGGAGGCAAGCCAACTTCAACCGTCGTGACAACAACCAAGACCTCCACAACGCCAGGAGGAGTTATCACCATCATCACTACTCTACCTCCAGTAACGAAGACGCTAACCCCCGACGATCCATTCACCGAGCACCGAACCCGTGAAGATGTCGCATCACCAACAGACGAGACAGCTGCCGACGTAGACTCCTCGAATAACAGCAAGCGCCAGTCCGGCCCCGGCACAACCCTCCAATCAGGCTGGTACTGGGTCAGGGCAGTAGCAAGCCCAAACTACCACAAGTACCTCCAAACGAAGCCCACCAACAACCCGGGGACCGCCATCCTCGAAAGCTACCGCACAGCAGGGCAATACAAGATCGAAGGCGGACAGCTCATGGCCAACACGGGTACAGGCACCACGGCGCTCTACCTGCACGTCGAGAAGCCGGCAGACTTCACGCAGCGCAAGCTAGCGACGTGGTTCAATACGACCAAGAACGACTTCGGCACCTTCGCATGGCAGGGCGACGCGCTGACGTGGAGCACGGCGGAGGTGAAGCGGCAGAACCTAGCTGCCTGGCTTGTGTGCGCGAGCCAGGCGCTGTTCATCAACACGGGCGCTTATGCGTATCAAACGCCGGCGGGGTGTGCCGACCAGACGGTAAGAGGAGACGACTCTTTCATCTTTTGTCATGTTTCTATAAATCACAGGATATGAGTAAATAGGTGTGAGGATGTTGGCTAACGAGGGATAGATCCATTATTACAACGACGCTCATGCGAACGAATAGGTAGGCGAGTACAAGAGGCTGATGGGGTAATCAGGTCCCGGGGTATTGTTTAATGACTTGATGAAAACCGATCTGAAGCTCCTACGAGCTTCTTTATGTGAACCAAGCGTCGTTCATTTTCCATCTCTGCTTCTGAATTCATACAGCTTGTGGACGGCCCGTTATCCGCTCGATGAGGAAGGAGGTCAGATTTAATGAAGCATTATGACATTTACGTGTAAATGAGTGAGTGCCGAGAGATAATCTCTTACACTTCATTCTCAAGAGTTTCAAATAATAATGTTTCTTTTCATGAGAACACATCTTCATCACTCAGGCATACATCTCTATAACACTGAGATGCGTCGCGTCCTAGGTCTTAGATGCGGGTTGCACAGGTAACCTTTTTGGACTCCTTAAGATACCGCCCCGTCACAAATTCAAAAATACCCCTTCTTCCGAAACACTGTAGGCAGATGTAGTTTCACCTTATTCACTTCCATCCATCGGCATTCACATACTAAAGTCTAGTAGTGCATTTTCGACCTTCCATTCTCTACACGCGTTTCTCCTTTTCACAATAGGCAGGTCCATGTGTAGTCTATTCGTCCGATGAATCTCCTACCATTAACTACTTACCTACTATGTAATGCGTACACTATAATTATCACACGGAGTGCCGGATCTGCATAATAGTGGGGAACTACAGTCTTTACTGAATGGAGGACATGATCAGAGCTAGCATCTTCGATTTCAAGGATCAACCCGTCGGATCTTCGATTTAGCATCTACGCAATACCCGATGAGATGGAAGCAGCGGTCCATGCTGAAGCCGAGCACATAAAAGCTTATTTAACGTCGAGAGACATACGGGTATACATAACACTTATGGGTATATTTTATGAAATTGTATATACAAAGAATATTTGTTATGTACCGAGAGATACGCCTAACTCATATGCAATTTAGTTTCTCAATAAATCATCGCAGAAGTGAGTAAGAGTATGTATGTATGTATGCGGTCAACGTCTTTAGTATCCAATAGACTGTCCGTTAATCGTGATGTCTGCGCCATATAAGACACGCGCGCCATTTCCCTGGTTTGGATTGACGCGCCCGTGGAAAAGCACAGTGCGGCCATTGGGATCGAGATCTAGTCCACCGGGTCCCCAGATACCTTTGTTATCCACAGAGCGAAGAAGGATACCGCGGTTGGTGTACTGGCCGTTGATAGTGCTCGAGAAGGCATACTCAATATCGTAATCATCACTTGAGTAGCAGTGGGCGCTGTAGAAGAGTACATAGTTGCCGTTCGCAATCTTGTATAGAGCAGGCGCCTCAACAACACCATTGTTAGAAGCACCCTCATTATCCAGGATCGTGGTCGGGCTATCTAGCAGAGTAAGTGCATCGCGCGCCATTCGCTGAATCTGGATGGGCGTTGGCGTATAGTTTGGCCCTTTAGGTCCGCCTGTGCAGGTGGTGGCTCCGCCGAGAGAGTTGCCGTCGACTTTCCATACAATCCAACGGTCGACACCATCGTCATATCCAGAGGCATCGATGACACCACCGCCGGCGTCATTGCAGATCAGAGGTGCGGCCTGGGGCGTGAACGGACCTATGGCCGAAGCGGAAGTGGCGGCACCGATGCAATGGGTCCCGCCAGCTTTACGTGCGGTGTAATACACTGTTGGAACTTTAGGTTAACAACTGCCACCTTGATCAAGATTCATGGTAGGAATGGGGTCCAAAGCCACAATGTTGCTTTCCCCCTCTTCCCTAACGGAACCACTAGAGCAGAAAAAGAAGTCACGGTGAATATCACTTACTGACGTACGTCCCCGCATCCTTTATGTCCAATTAGCATCTTCTATCTTCCCACATAATTCCAAGGCTCTGATGACTTACATTCTTTTGGACATCGGGTGCCCAGATTCCCCTGTCGTTCGCATCGACCCATGAGCCGGGATCGGGCAATGCATCATTGCCTGTGAGAGTCCACGAAATCGTATCAGGTGACGTCGCAACCGGTATGTGCTTGCCGTTCGATGAAGTCGCATACCCTTTCCATGAACCGTCTCCGTATATTATAGACGGGTCCGGGAAGTTTACGTTAAGGGCAGGCCCGTACAAGCTGCGACCCCTGATATCTGGCGTTCCAATCCGCGTAATGTTGGCGAGCCCAAGGACGGGCAAGGCCTCGTTTCTGGCATCAGCCTGGTTGGTTGCTGGTAGCCCTGCGGCCAGCTGGGCACTTAACGCAATCAGAATGCTCTTCATGATGGGAGGGTTTAACAAGTGGGAAAGTAGCCTGTGGCCCGACCACTGTCTGGCATTATGCCAGGTCGGGGCAGTCAAGCAAGATATAGTCATTAAGGTTGTGGCAAACATCGCCAAGATGTGTTAAGCCGCATATCGACCGACTGCGACTCGATGACTACCTAGGCCAAAGGAGCATTACCTAGCCATGCAAGGACTCTGGAGACAATCCCTCTATAATTACGTAGAATGTTTCATGAGAGGGGCCAAGGAGCAAACGTCATGGCCCCAGGTAAAGGGAGCTTTCGAGCCTATAGCAGTCGGCACGTAACTTGGAAGGGCCCATAATACGATGACAAAAGGCTGCAAGACAGCCGCTTTCGTCTACCGGCAGGATCATCTGCCATTGGTGTTGGTAGGTGGTATTCGATGAACTCGGAGCAAACGTTACATAGCACCGCATAACGATTTGTATGGCCAATCATTAGTGAGGCTGTCCAGAGGAATCTCCTGCCCAATTTGTCAATGGTGGTGGAAGCAGGGCTACTTTGGGCTCAGACCCGGTGGCGGTGTCAATGAGGGAGGGCTTGAAGTGAAACACGTCGGCAAATGAGTGGTGAGTTAGGAATAAGGCTGATACAGGGGCATTGTGCCGTGGGCCAATTATAGTTGATGAAGCTGAAGCAGCGTAACAAGGGTTAGCATTGCGTATTGACGATAAGTAGTCACGATATGTTTTCAGTTAAGCAACCTCGTGGTGAGTGTATGAGTGCACCTTGAATATATATTAAAGCCAGACTAGAAGGCGAGTTGGAACTAGAAATCAACTGGGTAATTTTAATCTGGTAATGATCTTCGGATATTCTAGTAGGCTTCGCTTTGGACAGAAGGATCAGGTTCGGGAATGTGCCATACCATAAAGTACAGTCAGCATGCTGTACCAGTCGACAAGGCAGCAATAACGGAGAATAACGAGCGGGAATCTATATCGAGTCGAAACTATCCCAGTCCCGGGCGCACGTGAAATGGTGATGGCATGAGCGACGTGAACGGCTTGGCTTGGCGTAGCTAGGCCAAAATTATGCAAGTAGATGAACTGAAGCTGCCTGTACAGGAAGCTCCTAAAGTCGCCATCGTTTCGGCTTCACTCAACGGAAGCGGTTAGCCTCGTAGCTCCTTGCATTCTAAAATCATCAATACAACGCATGTGATATATCCCTGTGGTGCATCGTGCAACATGGTGTCTCCAACAATCCGGCCAACTTGGTAGACGAACTTTCCCCGTATTGGGCCACTTCTGAGGTTAAGCCGAGAGCAAAATAGGAACAGTACAAAAACCTAGATATTCTGGAATTTTTTTTGAATCTACCTATAATAAACGTCATGCCGGCATTAAGGCGAAAATTGCGTCTCTATGGAGAAGTGCGGGTATATGCTTTTCGCCGAAGCAAGCAATGCCTTCCCCACCGTCTCCTATATTTCTCGGGTACGAAACTAGCCTCTGGCATCCAAAGCACTCTAGATATGAAAGGTGTCTTGCTGGTATCCAAGAACGGTTCGCACTTGACAATATCCCAGTTATCCGCATCGGCAATGTAATCCGGCTCGTAAGGTGGCAAGGGATCAGTATTCTCAGGGTATTGTGTATCCACCAGGAAGGAACATTGTCTTGTGTCGACATACTTGGCCATGTCTTCCTCATTGCGATCATTCAGCCCGCTTGTTGGCAACCAAGTTCCGCCAAAGAAGCCAAATCCTTCGCGAGCTTCCGCGAACTCGCCGGGCAGCAACCCGCGGAACTCCGACCTGATGAATTTGGCATGCATGTCGCGTGGAAGAAAGTATGAGCTGGGAAAGCGGTACCATTCCTTGGAGAAGCAGACGTTGTCCCCACGTCCACCAATACCTTGCTCTCCGGTCACACCAGCCCCAAGAGGCTGGTAGATCTTAAGTGGAGCTGAGTATCCGGTATAGATACCAATAATACGTGTGAGGCCCAGATCCAAGGAAAGTAACAACACTGAAGTGACAGCCACGAGTTTGAGTCGTGCTGGGATCTTTCCTACAATGGTCTTCGGGTCTGAATTGCCAAAAGCCGAAAGCACTATGTGGAATGCGAGAGCCGCATTTAGGGCGAGAAAGGGATAGGCTGGGTACATAAACCTTTCCTCCTTATGGGGCTGTATAGTGAAGATGGCGAGCCACATATAAAATGGCGCGAGGAACACAATAGTCCGTAGCCCGGACTGAAAGCTATTCACTTTTGCGGTGAATGCTTTTTGTAGCAAGAATAGAGGGAGTGAGAGCAAGGCGAGTACAAACCAGACATTGAAATTGATGGCTAGATTGCGGAAATAGAAGGTCCAAGGTTCCGTCCCGTAAAGGTTTGGACCGCCGGTGGAAGAAAAAATGTTGTATTTGACAATGTTCCAGGATACAACCTCGAATTTTCGGAAGAAGAAAGAATTGATCATCGAGTCGCCAAACTATATCATGTGAGAGACTGGTTGAATGTTCACGAGTAACCCTACTTACAAGGAGTAGAAGAGCCGCAATCACGCCACGACCAACACGCAGCACAGTCTCCCAAAAGCGATCTCGGTCACTAAAGAATGCGAATATGGCTTCCTCAAACAGGAAAGGTGCACAGAGTGCTGAAGCAAAAGGCCACCCCAAGATACCGCCAACGGCAAACCACCAAATGCCCCAGGCTGTCTTAAGCCCGCCCCTCCAGTTCATGAAGGCAGCAGCACCTAAAAAGGACGTATACATGGCGAAGCTAGATGGAAGATAAGCGGCACTGGCATGGAAGTTGCCAGGTGACATGACTAGAGCCATGAGGAAGAAGAGTCCAATTCTAGGGTTTAGCGTGAAGCTGACAACGCGGAACAAGAGCACCTGGCAAAATGCACAGAGGAAAGCGAGGGCATATCGGACGAAGTAAAACTCAGCGACCTGGTGAGATGTATCAGCGGCTAGAGTATTGCAAAGTAATGCAGCGTGACGAATCGGTTTACCTTGGTAGGCCGGGGAAGTAGTCTACGGAAGTTGCCTACAATGGCATGGAGAGCGACATAGAACCAGCTGCGGATGGCGAATTCTGGAGAGTACTCCCATGTCTGTAGACCATAGCCGTGGGATAGATAGTGTGTGGGTTCCCAGTAGTTGAAGGTCTCGTCGCAATCTTGGATGGGCGCGAAAAGAGCGGCTGTTATGTTCGCCGCAAGGAAGATATAGAAGGCAGTAATTGGCTGGATCGCGTAAGGCGATGGGGCTCTATATAGACAATAGCAGTTAGCGGTCTATGCTCAGACAGAACCACGGCAAAAGAGCGCCGCTGTCGAAGGCGCGGCGCATACTTCTTCTTTTTCGCATGTTGCGCATCTGGGTGCACGAAGCCCTCGCGTGGCCCAGCCGCCGTATCTGTGGGCGGCATTGTTATAGGAAAGAGAGGCGTCGCTGTAGACCGTGTGTGATGTCTGTGTTCGTCCCTAATTCGGATACGCTCCTGGGGATGAGAGCGAGGGAAGTCAGGTAAAACGAACGCAACGACGAAGCTGTCGCGAGATTGTAGACCCGACGGGGAGGGGAGGTTGCGGCCAAGTCAGAATAATCAGCGTCTGGATTCAATGACGTGTGTGTACCTAGCCTGTACCCAGGTGGGTAACAGAGGGTCTGCTTGGGTCATTTCAGCACCCAGCAAGTGCTGCTTTACAGTGCTTTACAGTGCCTTGTCAAGTAAAAACCCCGCTATGTCTCGGGGGAAGGCAGCTAATCAAGGTACAATTGACCAATGGCACGCAGCTAGTACTATCGATAAGCCATTTGCATGGATCTGCACCCTGTTTCCACTTTAATTTTCTTGAAGACAGGCCTCTTGCGATGGCCATCTTTTTGCGATACTCGAAGAGACAACTTGACATTGAAATACTACAAAGCTATATATACACCCCATGATCTTCTCAATGTACGGTGTATCGGCAGAAATAACCTGGATCCTTTCGTAATACTTGTTTGTGTTAGTCCAATATTGTTAACTTAAAAGTGTTCTCACCAGGTTTCTATGGTAGCTGCATCTCGCCCTGTCTACTTACTTAGGTTGGTATTCGGTGAGTTTGCTGTCTGGTATCAGTACCAGATCTACAAGAATCCATCGCCACAAGCAGCCTATCCGTGAAAGCAATAATCCCAGAATCAACACCTACATCACCAACACCGTCATGTCTGACGTCAAAATTCCTGGACTTGGCAACTTGCAACCCGCCGCGGATACAGAGAGTGGCAATGTCCAGCCTACTGCGGTGCCTGCGGTGCCGGCAGACGAAATGGCGGTTGATAATCCACCAAGTCCACCATCACTCACGTCGGGACTCGAAGCCCTCCTTGGTGGCCTAGACCCTCTACCAGAGCCAGTGCCCGCTTCATCAGAACAAAGTAAAGATACCACTGGTGCTCTACCGGAAACAAACAACACAGCTGTATCAGAGACTGAAAATCCAGCGCAAGCCAGCGCCTCCCAAGAAGCTGGTAATGATAACGTGCAAGAAGAGCATCCAGAGTGGGAAGTGGACTCATCTCCCTACGAGTCATCTTCCGACTCTAGCAGCTCGGATGACTCTGATGAGGACTCTGACGATGAGAAAGACTATAAGATTCTTGGGCCCGAGGAGACCGCCCGTATACTCATGGAAATGGATGGTGGGTCTGACGACGAAGGTGATGGCAAGGGAAAAGGTAGCAGTTCTGGTATGGTACGAACCAAAAATGAGCTCCCTGAAGCCATCGTCCCGCGACCCGAAGTTGAGATCAAACCTGAGATGGAGATAGTTGAGCTGGGTTCGATTGAGCATTTCGTTGGCAACACCGCTGTCATCAAAGCAAATACCGACGGAGAGTACCAAGTCCTCGACACAGGATCTGTGCTTTGTCTTGCAGACCGAACCGTGATAGCTGCCGTGGCGGATGTCATCGCGGCGGTGCGGGAGCCTCGGTATACCGCTGGCTTCCAAAACGAAGAAGAGATCAAGTCTTTCGGATTAGAGACTGGAACCAAGATCTTCTACCCACCTGCACTAGCAAGTCTTGGGTTCACAGAGATGCTCAAAGCCAACAAGGGCACAGATGCAAGTAACTGGCACGACGAGGAGGTCGCTGAAGACGAAATCGAATTCTCGGATGATGAGAAGGAGGCAGAGCACAAGCGCCAATTGAAAGCCAAAAAGCGAGGGGCACGTGGTGGTCGAGAGGGTGCGGCGAGTCGAGGAGGACGTAACGATGCTATTCCTGCGGGTGCCTCCATGGCCTCGGCTGAATTGAAGTACGATGATAATGACGATGATGACGGCCCTTACCGACCGCTAGCTCGTCCAGTAGGATTTGGGCAAAACCAAGCCTCCCATGGAAGCAGTGAGCCTCCGAGTGGCTTCTCTGGCCATTCCGGTGGTCATTGGGGAAATCGAGGCGACTTTAGAGGCAGAGGGAGCCGTGGCCGGGGCGGACGTGGCAATCGTGGTGGCAATGTGCGTGGCGGATATTCACTACCACCAAGACCACAAGGTCAAGACGGCCAGGGAGCGCAAAGTTACCACCAACAACAACCACCTGCGCAACAGTACAGTCTACCTCCTATGGTGATGGGTGGTCAACCCTTTACAAGCTTAAGTCCTCCTCAACCCAACGCTCAGCAACCACATGGACCTGCCAACCAGCAGTTTCCCTTCCCCTGGCCACAAAATGCTCAACCAGGCTTTTATCCTCCTCCACCACCTCAATTCACAGGCCAGTCTGGTGCAAATGGGATGTATTTACCGCCCAATTTCTTGACAGCTCTACAAAATCAGATGCAAGCCCAACAAAATCAACAAAACAACCAGTGGCCCGGTCCACATGGCCAACACAACACTAACTCATGGCCTGGACAAGGAGGCCACGGGTAAAAATTTAGCATGTCGTTTGCTTGTGCTGGGGAAATCGGCACGTGGATTATAGGCAATAGGTTGTGGCATGGATCTAACATTTTAGGCGCATATACTCTGGCCAGCTGTGATGGCGAAAGTAAGGACAGGGCTGCCCAGCATGGACCTTGTTCAAAATAACGATGATGACTACCGTACTCTTGGTAGCACGTACGGCTCATTTGCTCGCTAACTGGCTATTGGCCTGAACTGACAGAGAAGAGAACGTCCCTCGGCTGAACTGTCGATCGCGCCTTATCTACATACTTTGTACGTGTGGTTGTGACTAAAAGTCGAGTCGCCCCGTTTCCGTACGATAATATATATTATATGCTCCCTAAAATATGATTATATTTGATGCCACTCTTGTTCTCAGGGAGGCTGACATGCTGTTATTTTGCTGCGTCTTGATGCGACTGGTGGGCGTGTTGAAGATTATGAGCTGACAATCTATTGACTTGCGCCTGATCCTTCTTCGGCTTTTGCGATAGGCAATATAAAAGTACTTACTACTGTGTAAGTACGCCAACTTAGTTCCAGGCCTAGGTTTAACACGCTAGACGTCCCACAGTTGAGCGACCGAGCGATGATCAACCCATCCGTTTGGTAAACATGGCTCGACAGGTTGTTATGGCGAATAACGATGATATCATGACGATGTTTATGCCGCGATCCAATGACGGTGAATTCCCAAAAATATGTGAACTCGTTTGAGAAGTCTCAGACATGAGGATGACTAGCGCTCCATGAGATATGAGGGAAAATGAAGATCGCCGAAAAGTCCAAATCACGATATAGGCGGAGAAGCTCAGACCAATGGCAGCCGCAGGTACTAGATTAACGGCTGGGGGCGGTCTCTGAGATGGCGTGTTTCACCAAGCAGAGCTGGGGTGAGCTTGGGCGGAAGCTTGGGCCCAAGGCACACATGTATTATTCACATTACGCATGTAAGAATCCGCATAGTGTAAAAAAGATTGGGATGAGCTTGACCCTAGCATACGCCAGGGTAGGCGCTAGAAGCGACAGTCGAAGAGATGAAAGACTTGGTGTGGTCGATAACCACGCTAAGAGTGTGAGCAAAGACGAAGGAAGACATCAGTCATTCCCGTCTCTCGTCTCTTTTTCTTTCCGTTACACAACACGAGCAGGTAATTTCACGGATTACTATGACTGTCCGCCCAGCGAGGCGCCGACCTTTGAGCTAGAGTACTTACCACACCTACTCTAGGTACACATACCGTAGACTTTTGCCGTAGTGTGTGTAGCATCACGCTGTGCATAGCATTCACTTTATTACGCATTGTCGGCGATTCTACCTAAGATCTACATATAGGGCAAGGTTGTCCAATTAAGAAGATCGTCCGAAAGGTGGTTGGAGCTGAGGGGTTGACCATGTTGAAGCGAGCCGAGAGTCCACAGGCAGGCACCTACTTGCATTCAGATCTGTTCAGAGCAACGAACAAGGCCGAATCAGAGCAGTTTTGTGTGTTTCATGGTCAAAGTGCCAATGGTCCATTGCGTGGGATTGGGTCACCCTCAGCGCAGCGGACGGGTTCCGTGACAGAATGCGTGGAAAAGGGGTCGCTTGTTAGAGCCGGGGCATGATTCGCTGGAATATCGTGAATCCTTGCTAGCGAATTTCCCAAGACCCGCCAACGAGCACAGCCCTCGCCAATCAGATCAAGCTGGTACCTGACGACAGGAGGAGCTCGTACTACGAAGTAAGTAAATATCTGCGTGCTCGGCGTGTACCTGACTGGAGTGGAGCTGTGACGAGAGCTACCTACACAGTAGTACTAGGTACCTAGTAGAGCTTTAGCTGCATGTCAAAAAACAGAAATAGATCGTCCCAGCCGATCAACCGACTAACCAACAAACAGCCATCCACTTGTCCCGGGCTCTTTTGTGCGTGCTGTGATTGTCCGTCTCTGGTCGTCTTTGTGCTGGATGAGGAAAGTTAGTACATTTGTATCTTCGCTGTCAAAGGATATTTGTCGAGTGCACGGCGTGTTACTGTGTTGTTGTTGTTGTCGTTGTAGATAGCCAGTTCATCAAACCCGTTGCAAACAGATCCTGCAAACACCTACGGTAAACAATTTCAATGTCTGAGACTTGCTGCCATGCTAACCCACAACCACGCTTGCCGATAGAAATACTGAAATGACAAATTGTAACTACGGCTGGAGGCTGGAGGCAGGTATCTCTGCTGAACAGCTCATTTCTGTACTTAACGAGGCGTGTGGCTAGGGACAGGGACAGACGTTGCTGATCAAAGTATGGCTCGTTCACCAGCTCCTTTGTCATATCAAACAACCGACCAACCCATGAGCGAGCAACATGGCCGGACACCATTGACTTGAACCCGTGACGGAGCATCATCGAGAAATCTATAGCATACATACGTGCATATTAATTGATGATGTAGAGTGCTGTAATGTACCAGGTGTTCCTTTCACCCTACCTATATACTACCTAACAAATTAATGAAGTGACGATGCGATGCCCCGTTCCTGTATGTTAGGTACCTAGGTACATAGTAAATCCCTTCAGGCTCCGCCAAGCCAGCCCGACGAACCAATCATCTGACCGTGATCAGCAGGCACACTCTCACTAACTAAGCCCCTAGTTAGCTTAGCAGGTACCTACCCTTCTCCCCAGCAGAATCCCCCAGGCTAGGTACCCAGGCCAGGTACCCAGCGCCTACTCCCTCCATCTTGGTGTCTTTCTCTCCCTCTCTCTCCCTTCTTTTGCCTCCTCCTCCTCTTGACTCTCTTTACGTCGCATCTCAGAGCGTCCCGCCATCCCTCAGTCGCTCACGATCGAGTGTCGGGCTTCTTCCCCTCTCGTTCGGATCCTCGTTCGGATCCTCGTACAGTTCCATTCATTCCTTTATTTGCTTTTCTCCCTAACCAACCCGACTGTACTCCCCAGAGGATCCATACACTCTTTTCTTGACTCACGACGACTGCTGCCAGGCCTACTCACGAGTCCTTTCGTTATTGCTTGACGCCTTCGATTCACCCACGTACGTACTACAACAAGCGAAGTAACGCTCATTATCTACGCGTTTGCATTTCCGATATCGAATCGCTATCACAGCCTGTTTTGGGAACTGTTTCGAGCATTTAATAGGCCAACTGGGGAAACGAAATATTGGTCAACTCTCCCCATTCCTTTCGGAAGGATACATGCATTGACGGGGATTCAAAGCGAGAAGAGGATACTGGCCGACATCATAGAATTGGTTCATGACCAACGTTATTAATACCATTAAATAGTCAAAATGCCGAGCCACAAACACCTGCACGCGCGACACGCGCACCAGCATTGGGACAACTTCGTCCGAGGCGTTGAGAACGTCGCAAACGAACTCAACCCTTTTAAAGATGCACCGCACGCGCTGCAAGAGAGAGCCCCAGAAACTGTATATAAGACTGTTTATACTACCATGTCAGCGACCTTCGATGGCCCCATTGCTGGTTACACAACGGTTGGAGTGCCAGCAGATACAACCCAAAAGATCAAGTCTGGGGATGATGCAACGGCTGCCGCAGCCGCAGCCAAGGAAACATCGGCCGCCAAAGTTGATAAGAGCGATGATGCAAGCAGCGCCACTGAGAGTTTCCCTAAATCATTGGCTTCAAGCTCAATTGACCTCGAAGACGAATCAACCCTCGCTTTAGCAGGCAGTACCACACTAAAGCAGCAGACACCTTTCCTTACGAGCGTCGACACCACTAGCTCGCTCAGTGCGACAGGTGTTGCCGCATCATCTAGCTCTACGCCATCCGCAGGGTCTTCGGTCTCAGAAAACTCGGATAGCAGCCCTGCAGTGAAGGCAGGCATCGCTATTGGTGTTTTAGGTGGCATATTTGCGATTGGCTTACTAGTCTGGTTCCTTTTCAGCAAGCGTAGAAAGCAACTTGAGCAGCAGCGTGCACAGGATGACGAGAAGATTAATGGGTCTTTTGCTGGCGGCCGTACTGCTTCTATTCGCACCACACGCACTAGCGCCACCGCACCACGGCTCAGCTTGCGACCTGTCACTCAGTTCAACCCAACCTTTAATGAGAGACGCTCGAGCAAGGGTGCTGGCCTCATGCTCGCTACTACCGGTGGAAGCCCCCAGAGTGCCACTCGCGACAATGGTGGCAGCTTGTGGGAACGCCCTTCGACAGCTCACAGCAACAGCCCTGAGAATCCTTTCAATGACAGCGCCCGTGCCAATTCCCCTACCGGAAATGCGCCTCAAGAGCCGCTTACCAACCCGTTCGACTCACCTGAAAACATTGTGGGCATGGCTCAAACTACCGACTTACCAGCAACTCCGACTATGACCGCTACCACTGGAACGGACAGTGCGGCTACTTCTGCCGCTGCTGTTGGCGCTGCCAGTCTTGGTGCTTCGACTACATTGGCCCGGAAAGCATCAACCCGGAAGGAAGCACCCGAACCCCTCGACCTCACCATGCCCATGGTTCCTCCAAGCCCTACTGGTACCGAATTCAGTATGAACTCAGTCGCTCCTGGTCAATCGCCAGGCCCTTCGAAGAGCGCTGCAGCCATTGCTGAAGCTGGTGGCCCACCTTCATCTACTGTTCACCGAGTCCAATTAGACTTCAAGCCCTCTATGGATGATGAGTTGGGACTTCAAGCTGGACAACTAGTGCGAATCCTCCACGAGTACGACGATGGATGGGTAAGTGGAATCGTTATATACAAAATGACTCACATAGACTAACTCAAGACTAGGCCCTCTGTATCCGTCTCGACCGCTCTCAACAAGGTGTCGTACCTAGGACCTGTCTTTCTACTCGCCCTGTGAAACCCCGTCCTGCCGGTGGCCCTCCAGGCCCCCGTAATGGTGGTCCGCCAGTGAACCCCAGTGGTCCACGAGGCCCTCGTGGTCCTCCACGTGGCCCGAATTATACCCCTAATTATCCCCCTGGACCTCCTCCCCAGGGGCGTCCAGAATCTCCCATGAGAGCCATGAACGGCCGACCTCAATCTCCTGCTCATATGCGCCCTTATTCGCCAGCCGGAGGCCGACCCATGAGCCCACATACCGGCCGTCCCGCTTCGCCAGCTAGTGGTCGTCCTATGAGCCCCGGTCCTCGTGTCCAATCTCCCGGACCTCATCAACAGCGACCTCAGAGCCCCAACGGAATGAATCGACGACACAGCCCTCCTGGGCCAAGTCCGATGAATCCAAACAACGGTAACCAATTTCCCCCATCTCAGGGACAAGTTGGGCGAAAGCCTGTACCAGGTCAGGCATATTAGAATCCTGACAAAACTTGATGAACTCTTGAATGACAATTAGACTTTTCTCGACATTCGCTTGCGACCTTTTTTATTTTCATTGGTCTTTTATTTTTGTATCATGTTACAATTCACTTCATTCCGTCATGGCACGACGTAGCCTATATGGCCCCCAAGACTGAGGCTCGAACGTTGGACAGGATTAATTATATGCACTAGTTGCGAAGTTGCGTCGATGCTTCAGTTACGGGATTTGTTGATAATTTCTAGTTCAGCTGCACCCACTGTGCCCTCGGGTTCTTTGGTACTGCTGCGGCCCAATTCGCACTCATCGCTCAAAAACTACGAAACGGGTTTTAAGTTGCTCCAGTTCTTATGGGAGTTTGAGCAGCGGTTAGCATAAGACTTCAGGATTGTCTGATGCTCGCGTGCTGGTCAAGGGCTTTTGGACCAGCTTCAACCTTCGATCTTCCTTCTCGCCAAGCTAATACCTCTCTCATTTTGGGCATCTTACACAATGATGAGCCTGGTCGGTATTGCTGATTTTGCCTCAGTGCAAATAAAATTTGAGTGGACGGCTCATTGGTCTAGGAACTTGGAAAAGGTCACTGGAGGAAAACGAAGGGAAGATGGGCATGTCTGAGGTCTAGGGGACGAGTATATGTGCGGGATTTGCGGTTAGCCTCTGGTGAGCTACGATTGGCAGCTTTGAGGCGCCTCATTTTCTAGGTCGCATGATAGATGAATTGAGTGGTTGTCCAAAAACAAAATGCTGAAATGAATAGTTTGTGTGAACTAGCGCTGTCATCACTTCAGTTAAGGACGTGATGTTATGGTTTTCTCGTAGTTCCTAGCTCTATTCGAGCGTACGGTAACCTTTGCAGCTCGGTGTGCCAAATAACGCTTTTGTTCTTCAGTGGTACTGACTAACTTCTTGGGTCATAGATCTTAAGGATCGCGCAAGATGAGGTCTAAGCTGTGGTAACTTTGTCTTTACTCTCTCCATGGTTAGATGATGCTTTAGTGTGTAGAATGAAGGGAGTACGTGGTCATTCAAAAATGCTGTAGTGCTGTAGTAGAACCTATGCCGTTGAGTATTGTATCTCGTCGACCCATTGTCTTGGATCCGGGGGTTGTATCTAGGTTTTCACTGGAGGAAGACGGGGCGACTACACCGGCGCAAACCTGGACTCAGACAGGGACAGGGACAGAGGCAGATGCTAATGCGATTATCTAGGAGGGAATGTTCCGGATCGCCATGAGCTACCTCAGCGCTTTGACGTTACTTAAGTAGATGTGCGTCGAGGTGCCTTGAAGCCAGAGTATTACATTTACCTTGGTTGCGATTAAGGTCTGCGGCACGTTAAATGCATGGTGTGCTGAAGCTGGTAAGTAGACTCAGCAGACTCAGTCACCTCGTACGAAAGGGCACTCACATTATGAGAGACGAAATGCGCGAACTCGAGCTACAAAAATAGAGGCCGGGGGAAACGCAAAACTAATGTAATGCTAGGCGCATACTAACTGGATCTGGGCCAGGATGTGATGGGGTCAATTTGCGCTAGGATCGACGCATTCAGATACGCACGTTCACGAATACCACGCGTCTATTCGACACGACGATCCTCGACAAAATAGGTAGATACGACCGCATCGTGAACTCAAGCAGATAATAAGCAGAATCAAGACATAAGCCCGTCGTCACATATATCGATTCATTGAATTATGTTACAACAACAGATGCAACGATGAGGGCGCCATGACGCGAAACGCCCGTCACCATGATTGGCGGGGACGAAAACGCATCTGCGCGAAATTGCAGCTGATTGTCGGAAACTCTCTCGGCTGGGCAGACTTCCCTATCTATTGAAACACTACCTACCTGCTTGCACTAGGCTAGCTAGTGAGAACTCTATCTATTGATTTTAGTTTGGTGGGCTCCTTCGCTTGGATCTAGGCCCCACGATATGGGCTGAAGAGAGGTATAATAAGTATAAGTAGTAGATACATGATGCATCGTGTATCGCATCGCGTCTCAGTCCTTCTGGTGGTGCTTGACGCCCATTTACAAACTTCCACACTGCGTCAATAGGCTATGACAATAGCTGTCTAAGCGAAACTCTCTCGAAGCCCTACTAGCCAGAGTCGTTGCGGTTATGATTTGGTTAAAGAAGCAGCCGCTACTCTACCGCGACTCTCTGACTTTATTGGGGAATCCTATCACAATCATATGAATCAATAACTTCGGCTCTTCATACTTGATGGGAGTAATAGTATAGCCTCACGATGAGCGATGTTAAACTGTCACCACGATATGAGATTCGCCCTCTAGAACTCGAGCATCTCGAGTGGGCGAAAGCTATCTTCGCGCACAGCTTTGTATGTAACTTCTTAACCAAGCCTCACGGGAACTCATAATAACAACCCTCTTAACCATGATTCCCACTCGTATCCACCGCCATCACTGCCTACCTACCCTTATCCATGATCACCTCGTTATGCAACCACTAATACCCCTCCCCTCCAAAGGTCTTCAGCTCGCCCCTATGGCGCAATCTCTACCCGCACAACAAGACGGCGCGCTTCTACGGGCTCTACCAAGCAAGCCACTTCCTGATAAAGCATCAGATACGCTCCGGTCTCTCCCTCGGCATCTTCGATAGAGAATACGTCTTCAAGAACCCTTCCTCGGCCTCCCTCGGCGGCGCTCTTCACTTTGACCACAACGACACGAGTGTTGACGAGGACGAATTACTGCGGCAAATGGACACGCCTTTGGTGAGCATAGCGTGCGCCTTCGACGCCTTCTACGCCCTGGATAATCGCTTCGTGGCCCCCGTGACGGGCCGCTTGCCTGCGTCGGCGAGCTTTTACGAGGCCTTGGGCAGGAATGACGACGATGGCGATGACCCGTGGCCGACGGCGCCGGGACAGGTCCTGCAGCGCATGGGCACGGCGACGCGCGCGGACGCCGTCGGGGAGGGATTCATGAAGGCCATGGCCCACGATATGATGCGCCGGGCGGCGGAGATGGGGTTCAGCCGCATCCAGATCGAGTGCTTCCACGACGCCGTCACGGCCGTCTGGGCGAATCCGCCGCTGCCGTTCAAGGGGGAGGTGGCGCGTGAGGTTGATACGTATGCTTTGAATGAAATAGATGCGCAGGGAAGGCGGAGGTTCCCGTTCCGGCCGGTGAGGCAGAGGTTGACGAGGGTGAGTGTTACGCTGAGGTAGCCTGTGAGAACGTGGGTTATATTTCAACGGTGTATATTGATGTTGTCTCTGGCGTTACTGCGCGCGCTAGGCGGGAAGGTTCGGGATTTGTTATATTTTGCTTGGATGTACATACCGCGCGAAGTAGGGAGGAACTGGCTATGCTTGCCTTCACTAGTTAACCTGACAGAATAATCGATGAGATCAAACCTAAGCGCAAGGATTGCCGCCATGTGTCGAGCCTTTCAAAGCTGTATATTAGAAGCTTGATGAAGTTGCTTGATTTTATTATATACTCATGATCTAAAATATACAGCCAGACCTGTCCATCCGAACGTCAACTAACGAGGTCAAGGCTTTCTTGTCTTCCTCAGAAATTTGGGCTCACAGTCGCCAGGGGAACCTTGCATGTCTTCGACAGTGCAGAGATAGCCTTGGTACTGTTGGAGCTGACACAGCCTATTCCCGTGTCGCCCTTGATGCCATCGCATATAATGACGGGATCCCCCTTGCACGGGGACGTGACGGTGAAGTTCTTGAACGTGATATTCTCGCATACCGCGTCGGGGTTCGTTGAACACGTCAGGCTGGCGACAGCGAGGCCGTATTTACCGCTCGTGTAGCCTGAGAAATTCTCGAAAACGATATTGGTTATATTCATTTGCGACGGATACTTGGCGCAGGTGTCGGTGTCGATCTAGCGGTCCCGCTGTTAGTATTGATAAAAGGCGCTCAGCAGCGGCTTGCTAGATTGCGTTCTTACATTAAAATAACATGAATCGATGAAGGCAGAGTACTCATTGTTCGCCTGGTAAAAGTTTCTGAAGGTCACGTTATCCTGCCTTTGGTCAGTGGCCGTATACGTTGATAGGGATGTGATAGGGGACATACAATGAAACCATATCCAATGTCTGGACCAGCCCAGGTCTTAAGTCGGGCACCATCTACAGCAGAAGGAAGTCAGCAATCACTTTCGGGAACAACTGGTGTTGGAGTGTATGCAATCAACAAGTAAAAGAGATTGACAATCGAATGGATTTGCCACTTAATTTTCTCGAAAAAAAAGGGGAAAGTGCCCTCGGAAATGACATACGTTGGCCATTGAGCATCCAGACGTTCTCGATAACGACATCCTTGACAAAGCTCATCTCTCCCGCATATTGGCCTAGCGAGCCAATGGACTGTCCGTGGGTGCCATTGCAGTACATTGTGTCCACATGGATATTAGAGGCATTGGACTTCGGGGAAAAGCAGTCGTCCCCAATGTTGATCCACGCCCGCTTGACAGTGACATCTTCGACGTTCAACGAGTCGAAGAAGTCGGTGTTTTTAGGCCGAGATGTAGCATTGTTGGACTGGGCCGTGACCACGACGTCGGTGAACGAGATACCCTTCGATGTCACGATAAAGTTGGTCCAGCAGGGTGAGTCCTTCTCATGAATACCTTCCATTGCGAAGTTGGTGGTGTTCTCGGCGTAGAACAGAATCGGTCGAAGATATTCGTTGTCTGGGTCTAGAATCTCGAGACCAGCAAATTCGTTCCACCATCGCTGACCGTTCCCGTTTAGAACGCCGTCTCCGTAGATTTTGATATCCTTGCCGCCCCATTTCCAGAACATCAAGCTGTTCTGGAAAGGATGTGTGAAAGCATTGGCTTGCCAGTATGGGGTGTCGTTGGTGAACTTGACCTCGCCATCCCAATGCACTTGAACGTCGTCGAGGAAAGTCAGATCAAGCGGCTTGCCTATAACAAACAGCTTGTTCTTAGGCAGGTATAGAGTACCGCCATGGTTTGCCTTCTTTAGGCCAGCTTTGAACTCGTCGGAGACGTCATCTGTATCATTTCTGGAAGATCGAATCTTGACGACTGGTCGGTGACCGTCCTTGCACGACCTTTTTGTCTTGTATGGATGCTTCTCTCGAAACTCTTCGATACTTCGTGGCATGTTGGCTGGTAGCTCAACATGGCTGGCAACCACACCGGCAACGGCCGAGAGCAGCGTAATAAGATTCGAGGAACGCATATTGGCTAATTATACCCTCAACGAGCGTTGCGAGAATCAGAAGGCAAGAGATACCCCAAAGCTCCAATGAGGGAATCAACAAAGCCTTTATCCCCTCGCCTCTACGCCAGAGCTCGGTAAACCCCAATTTCCATAATTTCCAATTTCGAGTCCCCTCATAATTCGTTCCAATGCTTCCCACCTATTACGAACGGCGTCGCGCAAGGTTGCAGATTAAACCTAGCAAATGGCTAAATTGCAGCAACAGCTCCACGAGGCTTTCTCTTGCTAGGTCAAGCCTAGGCTGCACAGCTCTCCAGGTTTCTTCATCGTGAACAATGCTGTGATTGATGGAAGTTCTCGTGACGGAGTTGTGTGCCAATTTCTCCGCGATGTAAGGGGTCCTATTCTCCGCATTTCCCCAACCTTCTCCCCACTACTCTTCAGCATTCCCCTGTTCGTACTAAGAATACCTCAGGGCAAGGCGGCCGTTGCTATGAAACGAAGTGTTGTGGCTACTAGTACAAACTAACGGATATGAGATGAAGAGCAATTGAGAGAAATCGATTATACTTAGCAAGACCCTTTCACGTCTAGTCTTTTGACTTGTGCTCTGGAATTACGTGAGATGCGTTATTGATACAAGTCGTTTTTACCATATTCCGAAAAGGAATGCTTAGTGGTGAAAATTATACATGACTGATCGTATTCTTCATGAACACAATCACGCCCACATCAGAAACATGAGCATCATGAATGTCCTATATACACAATAAAGAATATCAAAGCGTGTTTGCATCTTTACTAGATAGTATAGTCAGAGGAATGCTCAAAGTGAGAAGACATTAGTATGCTCAGAGGGAAAAGGCTAAATAAGACATCAGTTATCCCATACCATCTCCCTACAACTTGCTATTCTTCCAAGCCGGCTTTCGTCTCTCATTAAAGCTCTTAACACCCTCGACGTAATTCTCGCCCTTTTCGATCCTAGCATACCAACCCTGGTTGATGATATCAGTCCCCTGCTGCGGTCCAACGCTCTCCCAACCCATCTTCAGCCCCTCTCGCGAGACAATGACGGAATCAGGGCTGTTGCCCGCGATCCTACCCGCCCACTTCAGCGCAGCAGCAACGACATCCTCCCCGTCCTTCGTGACCTCGTTAACGAGGCCCCAGCTCAGCATCTCCGCAGCCGAATAACTCTTCCCACCAAGCGCCATCTCAGAGGCGCGCTGACGACCGACCGAGCGCATGAGACGAGGCAGCGCCCCAGCCAGCGCGATAACGCCTATCGTCACCTCCGGCAGACCGAACGTGGCCTTCTCCGTCGCGATGACCACTATGTAAATACGCATAGAGTTAGCTACCCGCCTCTCCAGCGAGGAGAAAGAAATGAACCACTTCAACGCGGTATTCTCATAGGTGCTTTCTTACTGTCACAGTTGATAGCCATCTCCATTCCACCTCCAAAGCATATGCCGTTGACGGCCGCTATGACAGGCTTCTTGCCCCCGCGATTACTAAGCCCGCCGAATCCGCCGGACGGCATCCGGCTGCTATTGATTTTCGAAAAATCCTCGAGTCAGCGAGATCATCATGGTAATACCAGTGCTCTAGATGTGTATGAATGTAGGGGAGCTTATGAGTGCGAGTGAATTGCTAACCTCGGTTTCTCATTACGCGGCGGGACATCAGTATTCGCCGCCTTGTTATTCTCATTCCACTCCTTCAAATCCTGGCCCGCGCAAAAGGCGCGGCCCGTGCCTGTGATGACGGCGCAGCGGAGAGACGGTTCCTCATCATACCACGTCCAGAGCTCGTCGAGTGCGAGATGTTGTGGTCGGGGGATGGCGTTGAGCTGCTTGGAGCGATTGAGGGTGACGAGGAGGATGTGTTGTGCAGGGAAAGAGACAAGGACGTTGGGGACGGGAGGAGGTGATGACGAGAGTCCGGGTGGGAGATTGGTATTCGATGACGCGGTCATGTTTTTGATATGTCTATGTCCTTGAGAGTCAGGTTGTTATTTAGAACAATGGAGGAGCTTCTCGAAGCGCGTGTTATAGTGGCGTCAAGGTATTTAAAGACGGAACTCCTATGCCATGCAAGCTTGTAGGCTACGGCAAGCGCTGCTACGATATCGTATCAAAACAAGAGAATTATTAAGAGTTGAATAGTCATTTCCCTTATTTTTCTTCACTTTCCTCAATTATTTATTTTTTGGGGGGATTACTTAGCACGATGGGCATGAGGAGACTCGAGACATCGAAATGTAAGCAGGGGATCAAGGATGCTGTGGGGCATCCCCAAATCCTGGACCTCGGCTCCTGATGAACTCATAATCCTTAACTTAGGCATCTAATTGGGAATATACAGAGCTAATTGTAGGTACTATTAGCTTAGTCATTAGATGATACAATAGAATTCCATAACCTTGTTGTCATTGTAACGGGGTTCTAGCTTGTCTTGGAAAAGTTACACAACCTAACTTTCGTTTTTGTATCATGGACTAATGCTTGATAGATGACCGTTACTTCAATTTTTGGGTAGCAGCTCGAAGCCTGCTGCATCTTGAACCGACGTAAGTCTCGCCGCAAGCATATGTTTTCATGCTTCGAACAATAAGACCGTATTCCGCGCCAGATCAAGAGACCCGATAGCTATTATTACATTTTGACTCTCTTTAGTGGCTAGTCACATTATTACGCCGAGAGACCGCGTTTCTCACTCTCCGTAAAGAAGATCACCATTCGCCAAAGCTTCTTTACTAGGGCTTCAGCCTCATCGTCTAAGGCCTATGATATGGTGTTAGCACAAGGAACGAACAAGAAGTAAAAGTTTGGAAGAGGGGTAGCATCATACCTCTGCTAACTCCTCCACTAGCTCGCCTGGTTGACCATGTTTCCGGAGATGCTCCTCCACAACCTCAATAAGCAGTTGTTCCTGGACACCAAGATACTCAACCAGCTTCTTTTCCACAAAAGGACGCAACTTTTCGCGAATGACACTCTCATCCAAGTAGTCCCATTTGACGTCCCATTCCCAAAGACCTTCCTTTTCATTGGGAATCTCTTGTGCCAGAGCCCGGACGGCTTGGTCGCGCTCCTCATCTGACATAGCCGCTGCCGCAGTTGGCTCAAATTTGATGGGTACAAGCTGTCGCCTCGTAGTTGCGTCCTCGTCTTCATCTTCCAGAAGACCCTCCACCTCGGCAATTGTTTTCCTTTGCGGAGCAGCACGTTGTGCTTGAGCCTTTTGCGCAGCCGCACCGAGCGACAACTTGAAGGGTTGTGGTGCTGCCAGGGCAGTTCTGCTAGGCTGTCTTTGCTCCATTTCTTGCGCTTGCCTCTCGAGGAATGAATCGGCCATACCACGAGCCTGCTCACGTTCCGCTTCGTCCTTGATCCGATCCTGTTCTTCTGCTTGACGATCGGCTTCATCCGCAGCAATTTCTCTCCCCCTCTTTGCCGCACGATCGCGTATCCATGCACTACGATCTTTATAGTAATCCTCCTTCTTTCGTGCGGCTTCTGCATCGTCGTCGAAGTTTTGCAACCACCGAAATGCCTCTTCTCGCCTGGCAGCGGCGTTTTCCTCATCTGTGACATCACGGCCCTTTTCTCGCTCTAGAGCTGCCGTTCGAGACTTTTCTCGGTTGAGCCAACGTCGCTCGGCATCCAAATAAGCCTTTTCGGCCTCCAACTTTTGTTTCGCGACACGACGTCGTTCAAGTTCCTCGTCGCTCGCTGGGTCATCATCTTCATCTCTATTGTATGTCGCCGCACCATTGGTTACACCGCCGTTGACAAAATTGACGGACCGGTTGTAATCTTTACCTAGGTCCGATTTCAGGCCTTTAGGACCAGATGGCGCATTAGGTACTCCCCGGGGTCCTAGTGGTATACTATTTGTGTTAGATGGTGGTGGCGAGGCCAATCTTGAATGCCTAGGTGCACCGTTTCGCTGCCGCTCCAGAGCCTCAAGCTCTTCTTCTCGTTTCAATCTTTCCATATCCCTTTGTATGCTTCGGTCTCTAAAAGCTGCGATTTCTGCGGCTACAGTCTCCCGCATCTCAGCGGGAATCTCGGAGAGTTCGTCTTCTTGTGCCAATGGGATATTAACCACTTCGACATTTTCTCCATTCTGGACTGAGGCCTCTCCCATAGCAACATCGCCATCCGCATCGGCGTTGGATCGCACTGGAGGGTAAAACAGGTTCTTAATCAGCTGCTTTAACGCACCTCTTGCAACCTCGAGTCTAGCCTCTGCACCGGCCTCATCTGTCCTAGTTTCTTTGTAATCCTCTAAAAATTTTGTTGATTTCTCATCAAATCGAAAGCCGAGTTGTGATTTGTCGAGCTTCTCGTAGGTTTCATCGTCTGTGGCATGTGTGTCGGAAGGTGTCTGCTTCTTCTTGGGCACCTCAACATCGTGGAATAGCTCTGACGCAACCCAAAGCGATTCAGTGTCTTCAAATTGAGCAAAGCCAAATTCCAACTCTTTTCCACTAGAGTCTACGGTTCGATCCCACCGCCGTAGCTTGCCTGCTGTCCCTAAGATCTCTTCAACGCCTGAGTTGCCACCGACCCCATCTGTGATACCATTGACAAATATAGTACGGATGATTTCTTCTTTAGTGGGTGGTACCAGCGACTGCATGTTCTCTCGCATAGCCTGGCGAGCCTGGTCCAAGCTGCGATCCATCCCAATGCCGGCCCTCGGACCTGCCGATGTCGGGGTCTCACTGTCCTTGCGACTTGGTGCGCCAGGTGCGGAGGGCTTCCCCGAGAGGGTTCCCAGGCGAATTACGGGGGCGTTAAAGTTGATGTTAGGCATGTTCGGGGGGGCCTGGAAGTTGGATGGCATGCCGCTGGGTCGATTAGCTTGAGTAATGCTGGGCTGCTGAACGCCAGGTGGTGGCGCCATTCCTGGGGCAGACATGCCTGGTGGAGGTCCTGTTCACGGCGGTCAGCGTGAGGATGAATAGCAGAAGGCAGTATTTCTCGGGCAGTACTGACCAAGACCAGGTGCAGGTGACATGCCTGGCGGGCCATTGGCACCGGGGTACGAGTTGTAGGTAGGCGGCGGGCCGAAGCCAGGCACTTGAACACTTGATTAGCTATGTTCACGTCTCTCTTACGCTCCGGGTTGGGGCCGGGGGGTTCGTGCCGTCCGCCGTGAAGGGACATGGCCAGCGCGTTCGATGATGACTTACCGCCACCGTAAGGATGGTAGGACATATTGGCGAAAACTGCGGAAGTAGATGCCGCACGTCGTATTATCAGGCTCGGGGTCGTGACCGGTGCAAGAAGATATACGTCGAGGGCTAATCTACCGATGCCTGTGTCGCGGTGTCAGGCTCGTGGGAGGTAGAGAAAGGTACCTAATCGACATGAAAAGCGCAGGAGGTAGATACCTAGGTAGTGCAGTTCTCAATTTTGCGACGCAGCTCAATTGCCTACCTAAGGATGTAGCTACCTAGGTTAACTAACTATCAAGGCGCCTGCTTTGAGCAGCTTATCACTGTTATCGGCCAGATGCCCAGTGCCACGCAGCTAAGCCACTGTGGCTGATCAGGGAGGTAGGTATCGAGGCTCGAATTTGACCCCAGCCGTGGACATAGAAAAAGTCAGACATACCGGTAGTCTTCTCCTTCGTAGATAATCTGCAGACAATCTGGGTATAGATACACCCCCAGGCGTTGCTAGCCTCGTGGAGTCGAACTTTTTTCCCGTTGAAGCGGACTTTGAGGCTCTGGTCACGAAGCCCGTCATCGAATGATCAATCAATCGTATTAGAGGCTACGAGTTATCGTTCCGCCTTCTGAACCCGGCCTTGAAAGATGCATGTCTTCTTTCCGTTCCAATTGACTATCTCTATCTTCTATTACTAACATTCCTTGCAGGGCGGAAATCGGTCGCGCTGCTCAAGCAGCTGTGCGCTCGACGACGACTTCACTGGTTCGAGTCGCTCCGATACGACCTCAGCCATACCACAATCTTGCACTAGCAAGCATCCTCTCCAGAAAGAGCCACATGTCGACAACTTCATGTATGCGCTCTTCTAACGAGTCCACGAGAGCCACACATATCTCCACATCGTCACCATCAAGGACTCAACAACAGAATTACTCGTCCTTCAACTGGGGCAATCCTTCACGTCCTCCGCGTACTATCGAGAACATTGCTGATCTCGACATTCGGAAACCCACGAGCTCGTCATACGACTTCGCCTTCCGTGGCCAAAAGGATGGTCAAAGGGACGAAGAAGTCGACTCCGATCTAGCGCAGGACTTTGCGTCTAGTATTGACATCACCGATTTGCAGTCAAGCAAGCAGTCGCGGCACACCGCGCCTGTTGCCCCTCGGGCACAAATACGCTTGGTTCCACGTACTGGTCGTACAGTTTATGTCGGCAGCAACGTGGATATTGCGAGATCATTTAAGCTGCTAGCCGTCCAAGTTGGACAGAACAAGATACGCCGAGACTTTCAGCAGCAGAAGTTTCACGAACGACCTGGAAAGAAGCGAAAGAGGCTGGCGAGTGAGCGCTGGCGCACGAGATTCAGGATTGGCTTCAAGGCCACTATCTCAAGAGTTCGGGAGCTTACAGCCCAAGGCTGGTAAATACGTGTACATTATCATGAGCATCCCCAACTAAGCATCTGGGTAGACTTTGTCATATAGAGCTCCCATGTACCACCTAATGCCTGACATTTGACCAGAGTAGCCACTAGTGTGGTATGGATGCGTACAACTTGAGGACAATTCTTTGAAAATAGGTCCGACCAAAATGACTTCTCTTTCATGCACAGTGTGTGGCATCCTTCTTCGCTGCCTCTCCATTCAGCCTTTAGGTCTTATCAGCGTCTGTATGGTTTACCTAACAAAGAGAACTCTGTAGGGTGAGCAAAAATCCATTTCGAAGGCAACGAGTGTTTCCTTTCCGTAATCCAACCCAATCTAGAGTCATGCTTACTTGTAATCGAGTCATTTCTATGAACTCATTATGTTCGCTGCCTTTAGTTGGGCGTGTGAGACGCGTGGCACATCCGGCTTTATTGACTATGGGTCTAACTCGACAAGAGTCACCAATGTCGAATTCGTTAGGTCTCCGCCACCGCAAAATGCCACGCTGAAGACATCAACCACAGTTGATATGACACCAACGATGCACTCTATCGATCGGGTCAAGTTCAATTTTGCCAATCGCACGTCAACACAGCCAGGAGCTTATCGTGATGTGGGCGTTACTGCAAATCATCAATCGTCATTTCAGCCAGTTATTCGTGGCGAGTTCAGTGGAAGCAAGATAGAATCTCTTCAAGCTAAGCACGAGAATAAGGGTCAATGGATATCTATAGAGGATAACACAGCTCCAATTAAATCTAGTAGTCATAATCAAGCATTGAGTAAGCACTATAAGGACACCATATCCGAAACATGTACATTTTGGGTTATCGAATTGAACGTGAGGAACATTAGCTAATTGGACTTAGCTAGCAGGGATGGAATACATCAAATCGATCTCAACATCGGCCAGTCAAGACTTCATGAACAGCAATTAACTCTGCACGAACAAGGAAAAACACGAAATGAAGCGGAACATAAGTCAAAAATCTTAGAACTCCAAGATCGGCTGAAAGATGCTCAAGCCAAAATTCAGAATCTGTTCGCCAAACATGAAGAGCAAAGATCACAGCTTGACAAAGCTGTTGCTAGCGGTCCATCAGAACAATGGACAGCGCTGGCTTTACGGTCAAACGAGTTACTAGGCAGATTAGACGCTATGGCACACCACATTAATGATAGCATACACAGCTACCTAGAAAAATACGATCAGCACCTAAGTAACACGGCATCATATCGCCTACCAAAGCTTCAGCGTGAATTAGAAAGTAACTTGGGCAGGCTGAACGAGGAAACGAGGCGTAAGGGCGAGTTTGAAGAGAATCTACTACAGGAATACAAGAACACGACGACTTGGTATCAGCATGAGGTACGCAGCCTTCAGGGGCAGAAGTCCGAAAAAGAAGCATTGATTGAGCAGCTCCGTGCAGAGTTTTTGAACGAGAGACAGAGACTGTACGATGAGCACAGAAATGAATTAAACGCCAAGGCTATCGAACATGCGCGTCTTATGGAAAAACAGTACCGTAAACAAGAAAGACTGTCAAATTGGTATAATCGGAGAATGGACCAAAAAAATGAGGAATGGCAGACGAGATTGGTTTCTGTTCAATCAGAGAACGCGCACCTTATCAACGAAAGAGACCAAGAGCGTAGAGAATATCAGAAGCAAGCGCAGAAGGCGGACGAACGAATCCAGAAACTTCTCGTGAATCTGAGTGAAGCGAAAGACGACTTTAATAACATGAGCAAGCTGAAACAGGAACTACAAGTATCCCTGAGTGAGGGCAAGCGATCAGACCCAATCGAATACCAGCTATTACTAGATAAAATCGCTGACAGAGATGTCAAAATCAAAGACTATCTAGAGGAAATCAAACAGCTTCGTGACGTTACTAAAAGTTTGAACGACATCGTCCGGAATTCGAAAGAAAACCTCGAAATATGCGAGAGGGAGGTCGTCGGGTATAAGCAAAAGCTAGAGGATACCCCCCGAGAGATACAAGAACTCCAGGAATCGCATCATACAACAATCAGTCTATTGAAAGAAGACTTTATGAAGCGGAATTCTCTCTTGGAGGAAGATCATCGGACACAAATAAGCATCGAGCGAGAGAAGTTAGAGGGGCTCGAGCGTCTCGTAGAGTCCTTGAGGAATTCAAAGCATCAACAGTCCGAGCAACATTGCAAAACTCTAGAAGATAACACTCGAAAGTGGCATGAAGATATCAACAAAAGGAGAATCGAGTGGCAAAAAGAACTCGACCAATCATATGAGCTTGTACGTGAGGCAAAGGCGACGGCCCATTCGAGGGGTTCAAAAATAGAAGTGTTAGAGCAAGACGCGCAACGAGCGCAAAGCAGAATCATAACCCTCACTGCTGAACTCGATCAGATCCATGATCGTGACCGTGACGCAAAAGCGACGATTCTTTCGCAGACTACAAAGATCAAAGCGTTGGAGTTAGAGGCTCAGGAAACGCAGAGAACAATTCAAAGCCTTACTTCTGAGCTTGATCATTCATACGCCCTCTTTCGTGAAGTAGAAATAAGGACTCGTTCAAAAGACGCAAGGATCGAATTACTGAAGCTAGAAGCACAGGAAGCGCAAGACAAGATCCAGAGTCTCACGTCCCAAGTCAGTCAAGCGAAGGAAACACGGCAGGTGGCCCTTACGATACAAAGGGAGCTTGAACTCTCGAGGCAAGAGATTGAGAAGAACTTGACTAGTCTTCAGCAGTCTTTCAAAAAGGCAAAAAATGAGAAGATAACACTCGTCGAACAAGTCGCAAAACTAGAGCAAGACATACAAAACACGTCGGAACAAAAGTTATCTCTGGAAACCAATCTTAGAACTACGAGGCAGGAGCTCGCGGCCAAAGTGAGAGAAGCATCCACTGCGCTGAAAGAGTCAGAGCAAACAAAAGAACAACTCACCTCTTTACAGAGCAAAGCAAACTGGGCACAAAAGCAGCTGCTCGAGTCTCATTCACAGAACAAGCAGAAGGACTTCCAACTAGAACGACTCAACCTTGCCCTCAAAAATGAGCAGATCAAGAGAGAGGAGCTAGGTGCTGCACAGAAAACTGATCGCGAAACGGACCGCAGCATTTCGGATTTGACGACACAACTAAGTATTAAGACTAAACAATTGGAAAATGTTGAGTTGTCATATGGCCAGAAGATCACAGAACAAAACAAACTCTTACTACAGCGAAACAAAACGATTAGAACGCTAGAGGAGCAACTAGCATCGGCACAGCAAGAGAGACGAGAGCTGGAAGAGACCATGAAGCAAGCTCTGATGAAGGAAGAAACGAAGCGTAGCATTATCTTCAACGAATTCCAGAAATTGCGCAAGGAAATTCGTGTTATGTGTCGCATCAGGCCATCAACCCGTCAGGATGGACCTATACTAGACTACGCGACATCAGAGGGAAAGTTTCACAGCAAGCCCGCCGGCCTTGAGATTATCTCGCAAAAGAGCATGTACGGGACGGCGACGCAGGTACAAGATAGGACAAAGCACTATAAATTCGACCGCGTGTTCGAGGCTGACGAGACCAACGAGGACGTTTGGCTCGAAATCAGCCAATTCGTGCAATCCTTCATCGAAGGACGGCAGGTGACGATATTCTGCTACGGACAGACAGCCACCGGCAAGACATACACGATGAGTAATTCTGAGCGCGCGGTAGACGCGAATGGAGAGCCAATCCTAACGAACGAAGGCATCATGCCACGGTCGAAAGCGCTCATCTTCGAAGAAGCGAACCGCCGTCGTGAAAAGGGCTGGTTCATATCCATCCGAGGATGTTGCTACGAGGTTTACCTCAAGGAGATAAGGCAGCTTCTTCCCAACAGGCAGGTGAAGACCAAGAGTCTAGACCCAACAGAACCACCATGGTGGCATGTACGCGACCCCGAATATCAGCGGCTGAACTCCGTCGAGGAGTTCGACGAGATGTTTGATAGCGCAATGGAGAGCCGCACCTTCGCGGAGACGACGTCGAACTCGAGTTCCTCGCGCTCACACTTCATCCTCTATCTAGAGTTCGAGGCGAAGTCCCCTACCATGAAGAAAGCGAATAAGGGAAGCCTCTGCCTTGTAGACCTAGCTGGGTCCGAGGATCCGCACAAGGCGAGCGCTCTAGATGATCGAAGCATGTCACGAGGAAGCAACGCCGCCAGCATGTCCGAAGATGCTGCGCAGAAGAAAATTAGGGATCGGCGGCTGAGAGAAGGCATCGCGATCAACCAATCCTTGAGGGTACTCAGGAAATCGATACCAAAGATACGCAACCCAACAGCAGCCAACGGCAAGCCCACGCTCGAGGGTGGCGATGAGGAGAGCTCGACACTTGCCAAGTTGCTTGGTCCATGCCTAGGGCGCGAGAGCATGGTTCTGATGTTTGTCATGATCAACCTAAGCGCCGAAAGTCTGTCCGAGACAAAAGCTACACTCGAATCCGGAAAGGAGGTGAGTGACTACCACCATCATTATGATCATTATCCCTGCTATCCCTCCCCCCCCCGCGCGCCTTTTCTTTCCTCTTGCCCGTCCGGTACACGCCCACTGACGAGACATACTTAGATTGCTGAAATCCGGCTCTCGCCAAAAAAGACGCTCCCGTCATCACCGAGCACAGACGACAAAGCCGAGACACTAAGGAGCCCAGCAGCCCCGAAGAAACCCGGGTTCGGCAAAAACAATAGATTTCCCAAACCCCAGGGACGCTAGGCGTATTTCATGTTGATGTCAACTTAGATATATAATTTATAGTATGGGCGTGATATAACTGTAGAATAGAGTAATGTGATGTTAGAGAGGGAGGGAGTTCGTGGAATATACGATACGAACACCCCCTCGACACCCCCGACTTCAACCAACGAGTGAGCTTTCTTGACGAATTGCAAATCTATAACCTCTCGCGATACAGACATGGAAATTAGAGGCCTTCCTATCCAGATATCCCGAGAAACAGAAAAAAAAAAAAAAAAAACATCGGTTAAGTAAGGATCAAGGTGTGAATTTCGATAACGCGCGTTCCATGTTGAGGGCACTAGCAACCGATGTAGTTGGCGTTGCTGCAGTCAGCGAAGCGAAGTTCAAATCGGCCGACTATACTCTATCCGTGTTAATGGCTTTGTCGGTTGTTGCCTATGGATGGGGTCGGCAGGTGGCGTCTAGATGCTTTGCTTTGAAATCTCGCTTTCTTCGCGATCTCTCTCGGTGGTTTGATATCTTCTAGCCCGGTGTTTCCAACCGGTGTTTCACATGCACATGGGTAGCACGCGATCCGGAGCAGTGCTAATTGATCGACCCTTGTTGCGTCATTTCGGGGACGGCGCGTCTTGCATGTGAATCGCGTGTTCACGTAACCACCCATATAAGTCCTACTATTAGACTGCTGATACTTTTGATGTGAACGACTAGGCCAGCCTTAGAATATTTGTCAATGTCAAGGCGCGCATGGCAATGTATGTATGATGCGCAGAATAATGTATTTTATTTTATTTATAACTATTCGGCCAGACTAAGGAAGCATCCGTGCACTCGCTGAACCCTCCATTTTCCGTCCCTTGCTCCCAAAATACCAGCACCGGCCAAAGTCACCATTCCATCTGTCCGTTGCGTCGTCATCTCTTTTTCGCATTTAATCAACTTCCTGTCTCGGGATATCGCCCGAATACACCGTGTTGATCCCAGTAGATCAAAGTATATGGGGTATCTTGCACATACGCAACACCAAATCAACTCTTACAACCTCCAGCCAGTGTTTGCTGTAGCTCCGGGGTGAATCTTACAGGGGTGTTAATACGCTCCTTCAAGAGAGAAAAGAGAAAAAAGAGAGAGATTAAAAAAGCCTGCCAACCGGCTTCGGAGTTTACCGGAAGTGATAACGCCCCGAGATAAGACAACACCACCGTCATAATTATTACACACTTGTTCTGTATGGACCTTCCACAAACGAAGACCCCCATTAAGAACAACACTCTTATCGTCCTCCTTTAAAATCACAAGGGTACATGATCAAGCCTGGCCATTACCCAAAAAAGCAACTCGTGAAAGCTGTTATAAGTGTAGTATAGGTAGCATCAACGATGATGCGGGATGTTAGATGCCCCGCGTGAAGACCCTACGAAGCCAGCATAACCTGGTTTCCCGGGCCTGCTTCGACATCGGCGCATCCGGCGCTATTCGATCGTAGCCGTGGGGGCCCCCAGGCCAGATGTGCAGCTCGGCACAAACCCCTGCAGCCCACAGTCGTGAGGCGAACATCACAATCTCGTCCCGGAATGGCTCTGCCGAAGCGCAGTCGATGAATGTGGCGGGTAGGCCGCCGAGATCTGTGGCCCTGGCCGGAGCCTCGTACTCAGAGACGGCGTTGGTGCCGACGCGGTCGCCCAGGAGACAACTCCAGGCGAACCTGTTCATGGTAGAGTTGTAGAAGGGGCCGTTCGTGTACTGCTGGGCGGAGATGGTGTCGTTCCTGTCGTCGAGCATTGGACATTCCAGGAATAGCCCAGAGAGCTTGGGCCCTCCCTTATCCCGGACCATGAGCGCGGTAGCAGCCGCCAAGCCACCACCGGCAGAGGTTCCATATAAAACGAAGCGACCAGGATCGATTCCTAGCCTGACAAGGTTCTCCTCAGCCCAGAGGAGAGCAGCATAGCAGTCGCTCGCTAGTTGGTCACCCGAATTCTCCGGCGCCAGGCCGTACTCGACGCTAATGGTAATGGCTTCCAGGTCCTTCGCCCATACTGAACTAGTGTCGAGACCTGCGAACCGATTACAGGATATCAAGGCGCCTCCATGGATGTAGAAGATGCCAGGGCGCAGTCTTTTGATGTTGGATTCGACTCTGGGTCTCACGATGGAGACCGCCATGTCCTTGCCACCGGGGCCAGGAATCGTCTCATCCTCGATACGGACGTTCTTATCTGCCATCAAGGCAGCTGTGAGCGGCTTGGTCCGACAGGCGGACACCGTTCGCACCTTTTCAACCTCATAGCGATCGGGGCCGTGGCCGAGCGTCACGAGCACCGAATCGATGGCCGGGTCGTAAGGCGGTCTCGGCCGGCGATCAGATGAGCGTGCCATGTTTGGTTCAAATCCTTGAAAATGAAATCACAATATGCTTTACTTTTGGGTCCCCGTGCAGCACAAACGATGCTTGTGACGGTCCTTTGAAGCAATGAAGTAATTTATGTTAAACGAGCGTGTTGGGATAGTAAAGGGGTGGCGAAGGCTTGCTTTTTTTCTATGGCATTGCAGCCAAAAGAGAACGTCGGGTCTAGAAGGGTATGATCGACCGGGAGCAAGCCGGGGATTTTATACGCTCGTCGACGGAGTTCCCAGCAAATCCACGTACCTGGTAAATGCACGCAAGCGCGGTATACGCTGTTCCTCACTGGTCGATCTCTCACGGGAGACGGGACCGCAGGCGGGGCTGCAGACGCGGACCGGCTCTCTTCTAGGGTATCATCACATTTCAGCCAGGGAGGGGGTGGGGGAGCAGCAGAGGACAGGAGAGGACAAGAGAGGACAAGGACAAGGACAAGGACCAGGCATGGAAAGGGTAAAAGGATAAAAGAGGGAGGGAGGGAAGGAGGGAGGGAATTCGGACAAACCATAGAACAATTTCAGATGATAAAAAGAATAAGAAGGTGGAAGAGAATGGGGTGATTTTGACAGCTCCGACAGCCCACCAACCCTGTAGCCGGACAGGCCTATAGCATCCTCAACCAGCCAAGAATAGATGGCTATCGTTTTCTTTGCTGGCCATGACATGTCAAATGCAATCATACCATGTTGAAAGCAGCCGGCCCAGGGAAGCAGGCCTTATGCTCAAATGGGGAAAAGCACAATCCCCTCCCCCCCAAGCCACACGCAATGCAGCCAAAGGTCTGCTGGCTCAGGCCTGGGGACCTTTTGGTGGCCGCGGACCGGAGCTTCCCAATGGCTAGCCGAGAGGTGGTGGCCGATGTCTGTTATCTAGTGTGATGGGATACGAGTGTGAGGCGGACGGGGGGGGGGGACGACGGAGGTCGTGGTTGAAGACGAGATGCGTATCTACTGTATCTACTGTAGGTAGATGCAGCTAATCAACCCCGCCTTACTTTTTACGCTCCGTCTACTGCAACACACGACACTATAGCCCAGGCGTTGCGACTCTGCATCATGATATTGGACAATATACGTGCTACGACAGACCTCGAATCAAGGAAGGACGCAGCTCGTCTGGCTCGAAGGATACAGCCTAGATCAGCTTCACTAGTACTATACATACTATGTAGCAGGCTGTTTCGAGAGTCGAGACGCAATATACATACACAGTAGTCTATCTAGTACAGTGGCTAGTGTTACAACACAAATACTACGATACTATACTACGATACTATACTACTCTAGCATTAGCATGCCTGTCTAGATAGACAGACTACTGTAAGCGAGGCAATTCCGGGCAATAGATGGCGAGGATGATGAGGATGTTACGGATTCATGCCGTCTCTTGTGAAAGAGAGGCTGCATAGACTGGCACGTCGTTGATATATGCTTGTACTATGTAAACTGCCCAAGTAAATTATCATCCTTGCTTGATTTGCGTCGGACAGGGCAAGGCGAAAAAAGAGGTGAAGGTATAGCCGGGTGGACACTTAGGTGGGGGGTGGGGGGAGGGGAGCAGAGTCTTGACACAATGACACTTGGACAAGCCGGGACTGGGCCACGGATAACTACCGCTAAGGGCTTAGCGCAGCCGCTGGGATAAAACATCGTGGAACATCACAGTTGCACTACAGCTTCAAGATGACGAATTACAGCGCAGTCAAGAGTACCCTTGTGAAACATACGGCAAGTACTTAGATACAACTGTCGAGACTTGTTTCGAGTTCATCTGGACCTTTTGAACGATTTGGAGATTTGGGGGCAATGCCCACTGCTAACCCCACGCAAGCCCAGCCCAGCCAGACAAAGTGCATCGGCCCGAGCCAATGGGCACCTGGGGCATGGCCTTTACCTACGATACTGAGTACCTACATATGTACATATGTATGTATGTATTTATATAATCATATGCCTGTCTTGATGGGGAACGTGCAGCACCCTTAAATAATAGTATCAGCAGCTTTATCTAATGGTCTCTACCTACCCAAGGTATATATATATACATATCCATCATGTATATTATATCTCAAGTTCACTACAAGTATAGCAAATTACATAGTAGGTAGGTCGAGGTAGGTATCTATATCTATCTTTAATTTGTAGTGTGACCTGCAACGGCCTACCGACGACCTACACACCTATTACTTATCACCGACTTTTAAATTCTTTCTACAAGTATGTACGGAGTATGTAGATACCGGTAGCTCATACCTACATACTTACATAGTAGGTAGGCAGTTAATATTCTATCACATGTGAGAGGTACGGTAGGTATCTTATTAAATACGAGTTCTTCCGATGAGACATACATACACAACCCAAAGCACACTCATACACACGGCGTTACATGGCTTTACTTATACACCAGAGACAACCAACCTCTCGAGGCATGACTCAGAAGGCATCATCATATATTGCTTCGCTACTGACGTGTATGGGCTCAGCAACACCGTCCGGTAGCAGAAGACCACAGCACCATTCTGGTGCGACCGCATGATTACTCATACAGGGATGTCGTATGGCCGCGGGCATTTTATGATATATAACAATCCGAGCGAGCTCGAGAAGTGGCAGATCCCGTGACTGCATGTGACCGATCATGCATGCATGGGCTTCTGCACTGGAATCGGGATCGGCGTCTGAATCTGCATATCTGCATAGCCATCAGGGCCGCCAACGACCTGCATTGCATTGCCAGCGAAGCTGACTGCCTCCCACTAGCCATTAGGCGACCGGCTCGACCGCGTCGTACAGATCGGATGTGGATGCGATGCGGATTGGAGATAGATGGCCTTTGCATGTCGATCTAACGCCACCGCCATCTCCATAGGACCTTGTGCAAGGAAGTGCGGTCTATGTGAATAAGTATGTATAATAGCATGGGGGAAATATGGAGTTATAGCTATTTTGCTTCTATCTGTGCTCCAAAGTGGAGCATACCTCCTTTAGGCAAATACCTGGCCTCCGCATCGTGCACGGCGGCGGGGCTGGCCGCGGCGCAGAGCTGCGTCGAAAACTCAAAGTCAAGGAGTCAAATACTTGGTAATACAGCGCGCGCATTCACGCATCGTGTTACTGTCGTCATCTATCGGTGGCATCATCCGAAATCTCCGACTTGGCGCTCTGGCCGGCCATGGTCTGGGGTCGGTCGGTAGCCACTGTGCACGCCATCTTGCCTATTTGTCCATTGCGCATGACTGCAGGCGCACATCCCCAGTGGCTCAATCTTCCTTATAGTCGTCATGGGATCTAATCCCGTGCCCCAGATTCGCCAGGTCATCCCGGGAGCTCTGGTCAACATTGTCTTGAAGGCTGATCAGCGCACCGGTCGCGAAGTTCGAGGCACTGTCGCACATGTGCTGACGAGAGGTGATCATCACAGGGGGATCAAAGTGCGATTGGTGGATGGCCGCGTTGGCCGCGTTCAGAGCATGGCTTCGAGTGCTGATGGTGGCTCATCGATTCGTTCATCTACTGGCTCAACGTTAACGGATAATCCGAACCTGTTGTCTCCAGTAGCACCGGCGTCAGAGAACCCTGGCGGGCACGGGGCTCAAGGGCCTCGGCCACGGTATCGTGATGCTCGGCTTGAGGAGCCACTTGATGTTGCACCTGAACAGATAAACTTAGGTGCTTATATTGTACCGTCTAGGCGCCGAGGAGGTAACAAGAAGAGCTCCAATGCAAACCAAGCGGACGAAGCAAGCCGCGCAGAGAACAGCTCGAGCAGCAATCATTATCAGCCGGACGTTACCTCGGCCGTTGCCACTTGTCCCGTGTGTGGGGCATTTGAAGGAGATGAGACTGCTGTCGCTCACCATGTAGCTGAGCATTTCGAGTAAGCCCCGCAAGGTTCTGTCTTTATTAATATCGAGATTGCTATCCTTCAAGAGTGGGCTCAATCTGGCGGTCTCCATCTCGGTATTGGACAACAACAGACAAAAGTCAGCTTCCGCTGCGTCACAGTGGCGAAGATAGCATGCAGCAATCCAAACCATTACAACGCCCACATTGCACTAAGACGAGTGAACACAAGTCGTGATCTCATCTGCCTGGGCCGAATACACAATCGGCGGCTCATTTCTTTTCCCAACAAGAACGATTCTGCTCCCCAGTCCTAGGTAGGAGTTAGGGTGCCATGACCAGAGGGGGCATATAGTCAGGTTAGGTTCGATTCCTTTCAGCGCTATATGGTTATTTCGCTTTTGGCTCATCTGTAGGTATTAGAGGTATGTGTATGATAATGGAGGCTGCAATTCACCGTCTGGTGCTAGAATTAACGTTGGACAGCGTTATACAATGCCCCATCCGTACCTGCAGAGTAGACATACCGTACCTACGCAGACATATGCTTTCCACCTCTCCAGAGCTATATAGAGAGGTCGAGTACAATTTTAGGTTCCAAGTTCCGGTTGCGGCTACATCATGGCCGGCCATCAAGGTTGGCCATCAAGGTCCCCTGATATTGCGCAACCACCCGCTGGCATAAGAGGAATAAGAGACGAGACATCTTCCACAAAAGTCCAATAATTATCATAGGATGTTAAGAAATACATTATATCAACCATGATGGGCAATACAGACGGTGTGATTCAAGTCCGCGATGTGATCATTATCGGAGCGGGCCCCAGTGGGCTGGGGGTTGCAGCGCGGTTGTGCGAACGCATGCCAGCAGCCAACTTCACCGATGACGAGCACCAACGCTTTCACTGGATCAAGCAACATCGCGCCGCAAAAAAGAGCACGAAGCACCCAAGGAACCGCAAAGTCGCGGACACGCGACTCAAAGAATCCGTAGCTCCAACTATCGCTCGAGATTTGGATATACTAGCCCTCGATGCATACGGCACGAGCTGGATGAAACGTTGGCAGGGTATGTTCAAGACATTTGACATATCTCACCTTCGTAGTCCTATGTTCTTTCACGTGGACCCCTCGGAAAGAGATGGGCTACTATCATATGCTTATGCCAATAGCCGAAGTGACGAATTAAGAGAGCTCCATGGGTGTGTTGGGAAGGAGCTGAGTAAATACCAGAGAAAGAAAAGAGAGAAGATGGGGAGAGAGTAAGATCTGACATGCATGCTATGGAAGAAATCGACTGATGACTGAGTTGAGGAAGGCAACAAAACAACCCTACCATCGATGAGCGAGAACGAAAAGACTACTACGTTCCTTCGACACCCCTTTTCTTCTCCCACTGCGACTGTCTTGTGAACCGGTACAAACTTGACGATACCATACTCTCCCAGGAACAAGTCGAAGATATCCGTTACGACCATGTTCTGGAGTACTCGGATGAAGAGAAGCTATTCTGCGTCAAGACCAATAAGGGTTGTCATTATGGGAAGATTGTTGTTCTAGCCATCGGTGGCAACGCCCCTCAGATACCCTGTCCGCTAAGTGCTGAGGAAACAGAGGGTGCCACGCATGCGATGCATATCAAAACTTTCCCACCCCTATACGTACAGACTAAGATGGCGACAAAGGCTAGAACGAATATGTTGATTGTGGGTGGTGGCCTCACCTCAGCTCAGATCGCCGATCTAGCCATCCGTCGAGGGGTCAACAAGGTATTCCTCATTATGCGCGGCCCTCTAAAGATCAAACATTTCGACCTCGGTCTTGAGTGGGTAGGCAAATTTCGGAACATCGAGCATGCGATATTCTGGAATTCAAACTCGCCAGAAGAACGATGTAAAAAGGTCATGGAGGCCCGGAATGGCGGCAGCATTACCCCCTACTACAAGAAAATCCTTGAGAAACACCTCTCGTCTGGCCGTTTAGACATGTTACTACACACCACTATCAACGACAAGAAGTGGAACCCAATGTCGAAAACTTGGACCGTGTCTCTCAAGGGAGAGCGGGAAGATCTTCCACCCATTGATCACATCTATTTTGCAACCGGTGTGGGCACAAACTTTGAGTGTCTGCCCTGCTTGCAGTCCATGTGCCGTGACTATCCGATCGAGAACTGCGGTGGTTTCCCCTGCATCACAGAGAAGATGTCTTGGAAGGACGACGTTCCTCTCTTTGTGGCTGGCCGATTCGCTGCGCTCCAGCTCGGCCCTGGGGCACATAATTTAATTGGTGCGAGAATAGGTGCGGATCGAATAGCATGGTCTATCCAAGAAATGCTAGGCAAGGAGGAGAACAGCGACCAAAGCAATTGGGGTCAGGACAAATTCAATTATCTGACTGGCAGAGGCAGCCGGTATAATGCCCTGGCTGATATTTCTTTGCCTGCTGATGACTGAAGTGATAGGATACCACGGGTGTATAAGACTAACAACTACATTCGTTTGAAGACATAGTAAACATTATTCTAGGCAGCGCAACTCTACAATGTATTTTGGTTTATAACAATTCTACTTCTCCCCGTCTATCTGGCAACAGCCATACGATAACCATGTTGTGTTGAATTTATCTCGCCACGTCGAGAACACCATCTAATTGATTCTTTATATCAATGCAAGCAATCACATCACATATCACCGCTATCCCAGTCCGAATCATCCTATCCAACCCACCAATCCAGCTAGCATCCAATTCTCTCACTTGCCCCTTTATCCCTCCCATCTCAATACTCCAATTTCTTCTCGTAAACGCGAAACTCAGTAGGTCCAGAAAGCAGCTCAAACAGCCTTGGATACGCCTTCTCGAAGTCGCGCAGCTCAATGAGCACGTACCCGAGCTTCTCATACCAGGCCTGCAGCCGCAATTTCCCCTCGTGTTGGAAGTGCACAGGGAATAAAAGCTCGAGGCGCATAGCGGCGTTTCGCACCCCGAGGAGACGCCGCCGACACCAGTCCTCGGCGAAGAATACCAGATCCCGCCCTACCCCGGATCCGCGGTGCGCCGGGTCCACCGCGAGCATCCCGAATTCGCCGGTCGAGGGCCCGGCCTGCTTCATCGCTATGCATCCTGTCGGGGCGCTGTTTTCGTCGAATGGTGAAAGATACGCCACGGCGAGCTCGCCCGCGCGTAGGAGCGCCGCGATGTCCGAGGTCGACGTCCGCTCGAACTGCGTGCTGTAGATCCCGCGCTCTGCCTCGCTGTATACTGCGTTGACGAGGAGCGTTAAGGCTTGGACGAGGGCTTCGTCGTCTGCGGCCGAGGACGGCGGTACGGTGATCCTAGCTCTTTCATTGACGTTATTGCTCTCATTGCTGTTTAGTGTGGACGAGATGGGCTTATGTGTAGCAGTAGTGGCTGTAGTTGTAGAGTGTAGCGGTGAGTTTTCCGACATGTTGGCTGAGGTACTCTAGGACTTTATTACCAGCCGTTTATATATCTTCCTCTTTTCGTGTGATCACTGCTATCTGGCGGATAAATTTGAAGGGAATATGAGATTCAAGAGCGGAAGACGTTTTCCGTATATCGTATTGAATGCGCAGCCTGTTAATCATGCGACGAGCCCAACAACCGAGCCCCTAAAGCAGATGGCTAAGCTGAACTAATCGTCGCTAAACCTACCAACAGCATAATTTAGTTTCATTCAGCCCATCGGCGTCGATCACACCGTTACACAGCCGAATAAATCCTTTGTCCCGCTTACTTCTACCTACCGGGTTTCACTTTGATGCTCGCCCCTTGCATGTTCACTGCGTAGTTCGTCTCAGGGATTAGCAAAGCGATGCGACGGGCATTTGCGGCGTGGCGGGCTGTCATATTGGAATGACTCAGCTAACTGGAATAGCGGCACACCGACGAGCGCCGCGCTGAAGTCTGTCTCAAAAGTCTGCCTCATGAATCATCTTTCACCTTTTTTACGAAAAGGACCAATATTGATTGATGATATCTCACTCACGTATTGATTCACATAGACTTTGTGTAGAATTAATCATTGTGTATGCATTACGTTGTATTATGAGATGCGGATAAGGTAAAAGCTAGCGCTGTTACTATTAATACGGGATTCCTTACGAATCTTCCTTTTATTAACATTACATACATCTCTCACTTAGCATTTCACCCTGCCTCATCTCGTCTACCAGAATCCTCTCACTTAGAGCATAGCAACGGCGCCCATGAAGCCAGCAGCGGCCACGGCAGCAACGACAGCGAAGCCAGTCTCACGCGGCGCGGCGTTGGGGACATTGACGGTAGAAGTGGGCGATACGGAGCTAGAAGCGTCGTCGGAAGCGCCGCCAGCAGACGCGCTAGTAGAAACACCGGTGGAAGCAGCACCGGAGGAGCTGTGTGAAGCGCTGCCTGTGATATGAGAGGTTTCACTCGAGCCAGTGACTTGAGCAGAGGATGACTGCGCGGGAGTAGAGGTCGCAGCAGCCGTGGTCGATCCAACGCCCACGACCACGGTCGAACCAGTGCTGCAGACGGGGATGTCGGTGGCGCCAGGGATCTGCTCAACGACGTCCGAGCAGGCGGTGACGATCTGGTTGATCTCGGAGGTGTGGTCGTAGTACCACTCGATGGCCGCAGATGTGTACGAAGACCACTCCGATCCAAGTTTGCCGGTGAACGAGGGGGTGACGCAAGGGTCAGCAGGAAGCGTCACAGAGAGCAAGTCAGCCGGAGGCGTGGGAGCTGAAGAGTAGATGGTCACTGCGTTGCTCAAGGCCGACTGGCACTCCGGGTCGATGCCGTCAAACTGGCGGCTCTCAAGAAAGTCACGCTTAGCGATAGCTGGGAGCTGCTGGGCCGTGGCGGCGCCAAAGACGGCCGCGGTAAGCAGGGCCTTGGAGAACATCTTGGATTGCTTTGCTGGAGTTGTGATTATGGTGATTATGTTCGGTTACGAGATGTGTGAGCCAGAGAACGCGGGTATAGCAGATTCGCAATTTCACAACAGCCTTTATGATTTGAAACAAGCGTCACAAACAAATGGAAAGAGGAGGGAGGGAGAGGTACCATAGATAGTAGAGGGAACAAGTGAAATAAGTATCTTTCTTTCCTTCTTCTTTGACCCGACGAATTCAGCCTGGTTCAGCCCGGTCCAGTCTAGTAAACAAAGAACGTCGCACAATTAATATCGCCAACAGGCTCCAAGGAGCAAGTGAGCGGGGATCCTAGCCGGTACCACGCCAGTGGTAGGTGCCTTAGCTATTCATAGCCTCCCATGGCCTCGGCTGAACGCCCAGCTGAAATTGCGAGATTGAGCTGTCTCTCAATAGTGCTTGCTAGCATGCCAATCCGTCGGTGACAGCTTCAAGATGTCCAAGTGCCCTCTCGGCTTTGCGCCCACGTGCGTCACGTAGCGCAAGAATGGGGGCGATGAAAGGCAAAGTCGATGGAGAGCTCGGTCAGCGTCTCTGCTTACCTAAATCAATAGAATTGCCGCAAACTGCCTATAGTCGCCCTCATTTACGTATGGTACACAGCAGTTACATGTACCTACTTATCCTCCCTTGCTAATGCAGGTGTTGGAATCTGGAGAATGCCTGTCATCTAACTTAGCGCACAGTCTTCACTGCCACCGGCAACCTACCGACCTACCAAGGCAGCTCAGCTTTAAGACCTGTCAGGTAAGATCAAAATGGCCGGCGTTTCACGGCAAATTACGCGTATGAGTCATGATGCTTCTTCACTTCAATGCTTTCTTTTCACTTTGGTATCAGAGCAAAATAGGCCTCTGGCCATGATTCGAGCTCATGTTCATTCTTCACCTAAGCATCCTAGCCTATATGTATGTATGCTAGTCTACTATAGATGATCTTCAAAAACGCTCGTTTCGTAGGAAAAATTCTGATATGGGTGTGAATATGTGCCTGGCCCTTTTTACCTTGATTGGAAGGGGAGAGACCATGCCAATTTTACACATCCGGGAGGAAGACCCAGAACTTCCTTTTTTTTATAGTCGACGCCGATACCTCTCTCCACAACGATAATTACCGGCTGGGGCGAACACAGCGCTATGAACTCGGCGTACGAAATTCCAAACCTAATAATCATTAAATGCTAGGAACTATTTAGGACACCATCGGCAAATGTGTAGGTCTAGTGTTTCGTTGATGATAGGCTTGAGTACAACAGTGCATAGGATTGTGTATGAGATAAGGGATTGAACTTGAACAAGGAACTACTTACTTTCCAAATTTGGAAGACAGGTCAATGTTCGGGTTTAATCTGATCCTGCTCTCGGCAGTAACAACAGAAGGTGTCTTTAACGCCCACATGGTGACCCGAGACCTAAATCCTTCGGCATCTCGTTGATCTCGCGCATCTAACAATCTTTGCCAAGTACCGGGTTGTGCCATTGCGAAATCAATCCTACAGACTTCAGTGCGATAATACAACACTTTCCACCCTCTGGACTCTGTGATCAGTCGTGTAACTAATTTGTATGATATGCCTTGACTGATATTGCCCTTGTAAGATAGGACGATGAGTCGATCCAACTGAAGACCTCGGGCCCGTCTCAGTACTGACGATAGGGCTTCGTACCCGCCCCTCCATTTCCGGTCTTTTTGCGTGTAGATGTAACGTATTTGGGAGAGTTTATGGGCGGGTAGACGACACAATGTCTGGCCCATTTCTAGACCATGGCGAAATCGGAAGAGAACACAACGCATCCATCTGGTGTCAATCTCCGCTTCCAACCGTTGGCATGTTCGTAAAAGAGCAAAATAGTCTTTACGGGTTGGTACAGTGATTGTTATCCCAAAGAAGACTTGGTCATATATCATGCAACGCAGTTCAGTAGGCAGTCGGAAGAAGATGCTAGTGCTCTGTGGGTTGGCTTGTTGTTCATAATTTTGCTCCATTGCAAGAATGGCCTCGAGGTATTCGCTTAACCACACGTGCGGCTAAATATCGTGCGGAGGCCTCGTCGGAGAACAAATACAGCCGACTAAACGCAATGATAGAACGATGAAACAAATGTAGTGTATAGAGTCTTCCAGGGAAATTTTGCATACATAAATACCTAGCGTGGAAGATTCAAGAGATCTTTTTTGAGAAACACGGTCAACAAGTTTATTGATGGTGCGACAGCCTGCGATAGTCCTCGATCAGGAAGGCTCTAGGGATCAAAATTGGGTATATGTAGAGTTCGACCGCGCGCTTTATATCGCACAGCAATGGTAATTGCATGTATACTTGTTGATATGTTGGAACTTCCCTTATCAACATGGATATAAGCAAGTACGTGACAAGCAACTGGCAGGCACCTAGCTCATCTTTCCAGTCCCTTGTGGATGAGGGTCGTCGAGTGTCGTGTTAGACCATAGCTACGAGAAACTCATGTTTGCATATTTCACAGCCGGTACTTATCACAATTTGGTGAAAACCCAGGGGTGCCAAAACGGGTGTGAAGTTTAATTTCACATTAACAATTAAACATAAAACGCCACCATTATGGAGCGAGCGAACAACCTCATACAACGAGGCAACCCATCTTGTTAATCGGCATCAAAGAAGCTCCCGCGATTCTTCAAGCTCGACAGATCCACGAGCCCCATTACCACGCCATCCATATTCCTTACATACTGACCAATCTCGAAGTACACAGCCGCAATGGCTGCTGTCACGAAGATCTGCACGATTCCTATGCCGATAGCAGAGCCCCTGAGTCCATCCCACGTCCACACAACAACCGGCAAGCCGAGGACGAAGGCACCCGCGACGAGGCTTCGAAGAGCTGTTAGTCCAGCCTGCATGTCGGCTATGTTTCGAAGTGCGACGTTCATATTGGCCGACGTGAAAGCCGTCGATTGCTGTACTACAGGCAGAATTGTTCCATCGAGAGTGGCGGAGCCTAGTGCAAGAAGGCCGAGAAGGAATGAGATAAGGGGGAAGCTGAGGCTGTCTGGCATGAATGATATGTCGCCGATCGTGATGCTATCAACTCTTGGTGGCCTCGCCGCCGAGCCTACTATGTACAATCCGAAGCCGAGAATCGCAATAGAGGCGAAAGTAGTGCCGACGGCGAGAATGAGTAGATGTAGCATGCGCGAGAACTGTCTACGACGAAAGAGCCAGTAAAGACCAACCACAACGGCGGTGCCGAATAGGAATGGAGTGAAGAAGATGAGGCCAATGGAGGATTCCACGAGGTTGAACGGTGGCGGTGAAAATAGCAGCGAAAGAGAACTAGTCAGGCCCCATAGCGAAACATAGGGTAGTATGGTAAGGACAAAAAGAAGCAGTGTCGATGGTGCAACTGCCGCCCTAGGCGCTTGCATGAGAAGCGAGGAGTCGACGATGATTGCCTTGTAAGACTGAAACTTCACAGCTCGAAGGTAGTTGAGAATTGCGTCTCTTGAGAATGTGATTGTCGGCAGCCTCGACTGCGAACGAGTCAGCGTCGGGAAGGCGTCGGTATAGCTCTCCTCAAAGCTTGAGCGTGTGTAGCTTGTCTCGGGGGCACCGAAGATAAGTAAGGGCATTAAAAACACTAGAATCGGCGTGAATATCTCGAACTGTGTAGCAAACCCTCGAGAACCCATCGAGACAACACCACCGATCAACGGCGCGCCCCATGTCGTAGCAAACGATACCGTATTATACATCATTATCTTTGGCTGCCTTTCATGTTCCTGGATATTTCTTGTAAGTCACAATACGCGCTATCAGAATTTCAGGGAAAGAAGGGGGCGAGGGTTACATACGAAAAAGGTGTCCAAGATCGACCCCAGCACGAGTGTGTCAAAGGCACCCCAACCCAGTCCTTGGAAGATTCTCGCTGCCATGTTCTGCGCAAAATCTCTTCCAGTGTTAATATTCCATGCGGAACCAATGAATATCAGCACCATCGAACTTAGATACACTGGCCGTTTGCCCCATACTTTAGCTAATATTACGCTCGCCATACCTGAAAAGGCCGAGAAAATGAGCGGAACAGCAGTCAGGGCCGCTGCTGATGGGTAATTGATACCTTGCTCTGCAGCTAGGACGCTATGGACGCTGATGAGCGCAGTCTTCATCGCGCCGACGACGGCCACCATAGACAGTAATGCTAAAAAATTAAGATTTTTCTTCCACAATGGCCAGTTCTGTATTGTTGATTAGCAGTCAACTCCGCAAATCCTTTCCAAACTATGTCTCATACCAATGGGTCGTTAGGGTCCTCGCTGGGTTGAGGTGATAATTCCATCGCAGCATACTTGCCAGTGCCGTATTTTAGGTTGCGTTTCGGATCTATGCTGACGAACGAGTGCCTCCTAGTAGAAGCCGTGCTTGGTCTTGATTCATCGCCTGATGTCCTTTTGGCGGGTGTCGTCCTCAGGAGCCTAAGCGGTAGCGGCTTATCATTCTCAAGGTCGCTACGCAACGGCGACACATTGGACTCCGCTTCCTCTGCCATCGCCTTCTCTAGAGCAATTGCCTCCGCGGCGTCTTTCTCGATTTCCGCCATCGGCGGTAGTGGCGGGAGTGTCTTGCGAGAGCCATGACTTGACTTTGGGGGTACTGGGAAACTCTTTTCAATCTGCGCGATGTCGATTGTCGACTGTTCTGACTCTGGCCTCGTGTTCATGACTTATAACACCCTTTTCTCGTTCCCTTCTTCTGTTTCCCCTTTCCACTTATAAGTACCGACCAATGATTCCAAATTCCCAAGTTCAATTACACTTAAAAGATAGAAAATAAGTCGGAGCAACGCGTGCGAACAAATTCAAACAAACGACACAAACAATGGCAACCAGGCCACGAAGATCAACTTCGAAGAAGTGAAGGATTAGCAAGAGAAAGTAAAGAGAAGCTCGATGAAGCTGCACAGAATGATGGATAGGCAGAAGAGGTTGGACTCTCGAGGTCAAAGCGTCCTAACCTTGCAGATAGGACGAGCCCACGAGCCACAAGCCGGGCAACCGACAGGTGCATGAGATCATAGGAGTACGGCAAAGGTAGTATAGCTCGCTCCCTTTGGTGGGGTTCCGGTATCCTACTTACGGTCTATTGGTATCATCGCAGGTAGGTCACTTGTTTCAGCTCGCCCTTCGGCTGCGGGAAGGCCAATGGCAGCCAGGACATCCTGATCCCTGCGTAGATCTGAATACTACCCGACACTGCACAACGAATAGGACTCGTGGATGGCGGTCAAAGATTTCTGTCTGGGCGAATCTCAGTTGGCCGCATTCTGCGTCTCATCGTCGGCCTCCCACGTGATGGGCATTCCGTCTGTCATGTGCACATTTCTTTACCTATTGTCGTATGAATAAGAATTACTAATGGCTGCGAGGAAGCGTCCAAAAAGCACGACTTCCTACAAGCCTACGATTGATAAGCCGCGCGACAAGGAACCGCGGATTCGGGGCTCGAAAGCGACATTTCGAAGCAGGCGTGCGGTCCAGCGAACTAGAGATTTTCAGCGCCTGTCAACCCTGACCTCTCCAACCAATATCTAGCTCCTGAAGAGAAGTATAAGCTCTCCACAGGTTCACCGTCCCCGCGTAAGCTGTACTGGGACGGAGTAGGTAGTACATTACACAATAGTGAGATGAAATGCCTACAGTAGAATGACAACCACACCTTCTAAATATCGGTAAGCTACCCCAAAAGCTTGGCACCCGTGTTCCCAGGTAGCAACATCTGGTTGGGACAGCAGTCTACATACATACCACGGTTCGAATTGGGGGTTGTGAAACTTGCCTGAAGCAGGATCAGCAACAAGCACTGAGAGGAACGTGCTCGTGCGTGCAGTATCGGTTACCAATGTGGATCGTAAGGGTACCGAGTAAGACGATTGATCCCTGTCCTTAGAGAATGCTGATATGAACTCGAGCGTGCTTACCTACTTAGACATACCCGGTTTTTTTCGCAGTGCCCAATTGATTCTTACTATAGATAACTTACTTGAGCATAATAAAGAAACATTATGGGGGAAACGGTCTCTAATGCGATTGGATCATCATTCTTGAAGAGAGCGGATAAGAGCCCAGGACAGGTAATAGTAGCGATAGAGCTCCGGTATTTTGAATACTATAGAAAGTAAACCCTGTCTCTTGTCTCTACAGAGTATACATACTTGTATACGTCAAAGGCTAATGCAGGAACAAAGGGCGTCGCATACTCCTTACGGTACGTACATGCAACGGCCATGTCAGACCCCTGACAGTTGCCATATTCAATGTGTAGTAGTGCCACGGACTGTAGCAAAGATGGCGCGAGGATGTCATTCCACTATGACCAAATCCCGTGCCAAGTCCATGTGGTGTACCTACACAGCATTCTTGTCTTGCCTCGTGTGTACCCGTGCAAACTCAGATTAAGAGAAACGAGCAAACCTTGATCGACCGTGAATGTGTATCGGTTTCCAAAACTAATATGATAACTCAGATATGATTGCCCTATAGTAGAAGCGGGTGGCATTTTCAAAACAAGATTCACAGTCTATCAGGGCCTTCGTTTCGACAGCGTTATACTTACTGTTTCGGTCATTATTCGGCGTTTATAATGCACATGCATCTATCCCGTGTGTGTATATTCTCATGCCTGGACGAGTGTGATACAAGTAGATCATAAGGATCTCTTCTGTGACCTACCTGGTAGTAGCGCAACAATATGGCCGCTAGGCACAACATGCATGAACCATATACTACTGTAGGAGAAGTATACTCTAAGTAAATAGGTATGCAACGGCACGGACGCTCGGTCTGTTCCGTATCGCATGATTTGAAAGACGGCTGGCCGATTGCCGTGATGTGCGCAATGTTTCGCTTCAGGGTATTCTCGACTCAGAATATTAATATGCTTGATTAATGTGTAGTGATTCTATAGACCCATGATTACCCCTTGACTTGGTGATGCATAGCCAAGCGTCTAGACGCGACCGTAACGCCCGGAATGCCCCCTAAATCCCTCTAATGAAGCCAGTATCTATACAGTCATGAATCTATTATCTGACCTCTTGAGCCAACTTTTTGCCAATTCCCAACTCCAACTCGGGGGTTCACTCCTCAGGAGCGAAGCCAGCCGCCTAAAACACAGTTGATGCACCTTCAGCTCCCAAAAGTGAGTGCATCCGTTGATCAGGAAACATGTCGATGATGTAATGCTACTGTACTGGCATCACTTTCGGCATTAATGTATGAGCTGGTGCACTCGGTAGTTGAACGATTTCGCTGCATGGTAGGTAGCGATCGGAGCCAGCAAAACGAAAAGACTCTAAAAGATGATATCTTAGTCAGCTAAAACTTGTTTCAAGAATGTATCTGTATCTCGTCCTCAGTGGCACATGGCGTTCTTCATAGGTAACCCTCAGCGATCGCGAGGGCGGGGATTCAGGTGGAAGTCAAGCAAATGCAACTCGCATAATGCAGGGGTCTACCGCCTCTTGTTGCCTCTCGCGTCGCCGAGGAGAAGCTACTCCGGTACGTCAATGGTGCCTCTGGCTTGGTGTTGCTCTTTCAAGAGCTCGTGGTCGAACCAAGGAATATAAGCATTAGGTCCACGCCAAGAGTCACTGACAGAAGGCGTTTCTGTACTCCCAATCGCGCAGTCCTTGCAGTACCGTGAACGGAAGTCGCCAGTCATTTCATTCAAGCCAAATTCGATCAGAGATCGAAAAAGAGGACCCTTTCAAGTAATGGAGGCAATAATGATAGCTTTACCTGCGTGAGCGATTTGTTGAGCCTCAGAGGTCTCAAGGGTAAGCTGTAGTTTGTTGGTCCGCACGATCAACTCTATAGTTTTGTTAGTCCTCGTAGTTTTCCAAGGGAATTATGGGCTGAAAGCGCTAACCTTGATATTCGAGTGTGTATGAGACAGGCGGATCTTGGTCGCGGCTTAGTAAAAGGGGTGTTTGGCCCTCTTCTCTAGGTATAACGCGAAATCGCACTCCAACGTTCTTAGATGTGTCCACCCATAATATGGAAGGATCATCAAGATTTGTTGCTTCCGCTTGCTGCTGTTCCATCGCCGATCGCGTAGCTTGTTCTCGAAGCCAATCGCGCCAGACTCTGACGACACTATCACTGACGTTGTCTATGCTGAGGAACAAGCCTCTCCTTGGTCCTACCTTGACTAAGTTAGTCACCGCGCAAAGTTGGGTGAACAGCTCGTCAGCGTCGAGATTCACATCATAAGATGGAGTCTTTTCAGCCAAAGGCTTTTCTATCCCTGCAGTGACACGGGCGGTAGGCCATCGAGCGCGAGGGCGGTGGTTTTCATCGCCGAGATAGAGCTTGAATCGCGAGTAGAGACGATTCAAGTCCTCTAGGTCAGCATCTTCACCAGCCTCGGTGAGCCCGTCGGTTCCTATGTACTTGCAAAACAGTGACGGGGTTGACACCTTATCGCAGGGGTGGTAGCACTCTAGGATCAGTTGGCGGCCTTGCAGCGCGGTGGCCTCGACAAGTCTGTAGTAGTGGAGACGGCCAACGAGTCCACGAAACCGGCGAGAAACAGCAGCAAGCGGCAAGAGTGAGCGTGTGGGCAAGGAGTCCAGGGCATTGATAATAAGCTTTGATGATGGCGATTAGTATTCTCTCGTAGGAATCGGCTTGGAAGATTGGCCTACCTCGTTCGGGAGCAAGTCGAAAGCGTTGGTTTGAGCCATGACGCAAGACATGGAATTTGATAAAGGAAGATAAGGAGGTTGAACGGATTGGGACAAGATGCGTTGATGTGCAAATCTTAGACTAGGCCTTCTGATCTAATGGCTCTGGACTTTATATATGATATGAGCTGTCCGTATCTTTCCGCAAGAGTAATCTTGTCTTCCGTAGCTCGGGTGAGCTGAATCCTAATGCTGAAGCCCTAACATGGAATATGGTGTGAGGTCCGAGGCGGTGTCTTCGGGATCAGGCTATCTCTCGCGCTTCGCGCCTGACGCGGATCTTGCCGGAAGCGATGAAATTTCCTGGTTTTCGTAATTATGGGTACAATTCAGGCGATCGGAAGGATCATTTAACTTCGCGCAATGTAGCATTCGCTAATAGGCCAGATCTAGTTGATGGTGATGATCTGTGGTCGTCAAGCCATTGCTTCATCCTTGATGCATTTGAGAAAATGCCCATGCCCATGTCCCAACTGTCAGAACGGACTACCGAGCGGACGGTATGCAGCTACAGCAGACTGCCGTGCGCTAACCACCTGCTAGCCAAGCCGAGTCAATCAGTCGCTTTGAGCGGCCCATTTGCCCGGCCCATCGGAGCCCTTACGATGCAGTCAATCAGTCTACATGTGTAGTATATCAGATATGCTGATGAGCTCGACGTCGGTCTGCAATGAAGCCATTCAGCGACCATTTGATTGCCTCGCGATTCAAAGACGACCCAAAGTCGCAACGTCGCGACAATGAGTATGCGCGAGACGGCGAGTGGCTATTCCCGTCTGTTGCCAAGAGCCTGGCCAGAACTCCGGGTCTGTCCGGGCGTTGCCGGCCACGATAATGAGACCAGACGGTTATCGACACAGTGCTATCAACAAGTTCATACCGTCCCAACCGTGTGGGTTCTCTGTCTTGCTTGGCCAATGGCCATTTTTAGGTCATCATGAACTTCCCAAACTTTCTCGGAATGGATGCAAATAGCTATGGTATCGCTCAGTATGCTCAAGCACAAGTCGAATTATGCTCTTTATAATCTCAGCTCACTCGATTCATATCCCACCAACATGTGGAAAGCGTCTACTTCTGTTCAAGCCTTGGATGCCCGTACAATGAAGTACGATATACGCTTCCTACTCTTCTCAGCATCTAACCGTCATCTGTGGGTGTGGCAAGTGAACAGCTAGCGCACGCACTTCTTTGAGCAGGCATACCGCATTCCTACACGAAGCTTGTCAGGAGACTTTGGCTATACCTGCCATGGATTGTGATTCACTCAACAGTCCACTTCAAGGTCTACCAAATCCCGACGCAACATCAGGCGGGCAATCATCAGTCCACCAGCAATCAGTACTCCAAAGAGGAGTAGTCTTGAAGCAAGAAGGGATCTGCCCTTCTCCATGGTGTTGACGTACTCATCGCAGTAGGGCTTTCATGGGTTTGAATTTCCCCGAACAATGCTGTCATCTCAGATCACTTAAGCAGCTTTGAGGGGGAGAGGTCTTCGAAAGTGGTCTCAGTTTCAAGGCGTGCGGGAAACACCTCGGGTGCCTCATCTAGTGCGCCTTGTACTTTTGGTAGGTACCTAAATATATCATGTCGCTTATGGCGGCGGATTGGAAATTTAGCGTGTCGTGTCGTCTGCCAAGTTCTGGTAGAGAGCAGCATCTCGAAAGTGGGTGACGCGCCTAAGGGGCATATATCATAAGCAGCTTATGGTCCGGGGCTAGTATTCGGCATCAACCTCTCAAAATACGAAATACCTACGTAACTCAAATCAGAAACCGGTGTTAGCAACAAACTAGCCCGCCTGGACGCTCCATCGGCGAACAATGGCCATGGCTTAACCAGATTTGGATCCTCGCACGTAATCAACCTACGCCTCACAGAAGGCCATGTCAATATTCGAGCGCCTTGCATCTCGGGATTTCAGCTTGCATCCGGTGACCTTCTCGATTTCAATTGTTTTCAAATTGGCTTTCTTGGGAGAGGTGGCAATACACTGCGAAGGATGTCTGAACGACCGGGGAAGGGTAGGTCATCCATCATGTTGTTTGTTCTTGTCGGCATATATGATGTTGATAAGGGCTGTAACGTTGAACAGCAGGAGTTTGCTCGCTTCCTACTCCACAAAGGCCAAGCCAGTATTTACAAACAAGTACAGGGTGCCATGTTTTGATTACCCTGTTGTGCCCAAAGGCATACGCTAAAAATATCTGGTGCTTTGGATATATTTGCTGGGACTTTTTGGGGTATAAACTACGAAGCAATAAGTTGCGAATAATCATTGTTTGCGGTTTGAAAGATCACTAGTAGCTGTGGGTTTATTTGCGTGGCCCGTCTCGAGGTGTTACAATTCGTACATTTGTAAAACGTGTAGGGATTTAGACACAAAGGTGGGTATAGTAGTAGACCTGTTATTGGAATAGAAAGCCTACCAAATAGAAAAGATGACTGTTGTTCGTATGGAGTTTCAGACAGATTCGTTAATCACCCGAGATAATTACAGATCAACTCGGCTATGCGGCGTTATCTAGCCGATTCTTTACGAAAGATGCTCTGATATCATCCAAAATTTATAGGTGGTCTCGTACAGGGAATACTCTCCGGAAGCATCCCGCGATTCACCGCTACTAAAAATGTTGGGTCGGTATGCAGAGGACTCGGCTAGTTGACTCTCTTGTGGTCCTTCACTCTCAAAGTTATAAGGGCAGGGCATCAGTGAGAGGCGAGGGATATGTTTGGGCGATGTCATCGTTTTTTTTTTCTGGATGAGAAGTTAGTTTAAGCATCTCCACATTACCTGTCATTTTGGATTTTGAGACAATGACGACGAGATATAGTTACAGGAGATCTCTGTCACTCTCCTTGCTTGTCTTGAATGGCCAAACCTGATTCACGCGGCATTATCTGTAAACGGCAATTAGGATAGGATCGTACCATTGGAGCAGATCAAGCGAGGATCCCAGATCAACCCCAAAGACAGCGTTACATCATCCTCAGCTGCGTTACCAGAAGAGGCGATCTCGCCAATGAGGGCGGTCGAGGAACACGGTGACCTGCTAGAGGTTTGCTCCCATGCGTCTCAAGTAGTGCTTAGTGGAACCAAGGCTGGGTGGATACGGGCTGATAGTGTAAGCTGGCCATCCCATGTTCGCGGACTGTTGCCCTTCTCTTCGATGGATGTGGGCCACCCCGGAGTGTCGATGCAGGCCCAAGGTTCCTCCCGGATAGTCTCAGCGCTTCGATAGGTTGGGCGAGTCTCTCCACTCGCCGAGGCATGCCATCGAACAGGGCCAGAGCCTCAACGTGGCTGTCATTCGCCAGAGAAGACCGCCAGAGCTGTGCCGCCAAATCCCTAACAGCACCACCGTACACGGCGTTGCGGATCGAACTACACTAGTGTTGGACGTAAAGGAGGTGGGATCGTATGGTTGCATCTCATCAAAGATTACTGGTACAGAAAAAAAGTCGTCGTGATTACTTGGAGGACACAGCATATCTGTCACCTATAGCAATCCAGCCTCTGGCCATGAAGTTTTCACGACGTGCATACAAGGACGACGATACTCGACGCACGCAGCCAATGACGGGCGAGGCCTGGTCGAGACACCAGCCACAGATGCGACCTATCATCTGTGGCGCCGGTTGTGCTACCACATTGCAGGCTTGTACCTAGGTACTGTGCGACCAGAGTGCGACCAGAGTACGACGTTGTTCATGTAGTTGTTCATGTACGAGGCAAAGCCCAGGCACTCACCAGAGATCTGCCGACGAGGCCGACGAGGCCAATGAGGCCAATGATCGGGGCGCAGTCGGTGATGCCGTCGGTCGCTCGCCTATCAGCGACGGCACACGGGCTTCCCAATCCGTGACAGAACTCGACAGATGCCTCTCTTCTGCTCCCTGAACGGGGACCCTGCGCACCACCTTGTGGCACATCCTGGTCGAGGACGATGCAACACCCCACATTCATGATCCCGCCGAGGGTACCGAATATTGCCAGATTCGCCGTTGCGATACATGCCCGATGCTAGAATCCCGTGTCGAGGTCTGTCGACCTTCCCCTCGAGACGAACATGGCGTCATGCAAGGAGCTTGGGCCTCTACAGCCTTGGCGTGCCACTAGAACACCGGTACCCTACGTTACCTTGACTCTTACCTCCGTCCTCTGCCTGGGTCGCTTTTGAAATAGTTCGCAAGCTAGGCTAGGTTTCATACAGCAGCTACACTAGTAACCCGCTGCTTTTCCTTAGCGCGACGTGAGGGGAGACGAGGGGAGACGAGGAGGGGTCGATGGGGTCTGTTGGGGATTGAAGGATGCAAGCAACGGCGACGGCAGAGGGGCCGAGTGATCGCATCAACCAGAAACCGTCCGAACTGTCGCCCGGAGCGTCAAGTCAGCTCGTGCCATGTCATGAAAACGAATACGTCCGTCGGGTTCTGGGGGTGAGAGTTCGCGATTGCATCCGCAATTGCATCCCTTTGACCGCACAATTGCCATCTGATCACTTTCCTGCCCTCCCGCACTCCCACTTCCACTAATCTAGGACTTCACCCAGATATTTCTATATAAATGGGGCCCTCGGTCGGTCGTCTTGTCGTTATCTCTTAGCTCGCTCGGCACATCAGCCTTCCTCACTCTCGACCCTCGATACCGATATCTCCAGCATTCCATCTCAGCCCGTATCTTCTTTCATCCCACTTACTTTGCCTGCTTCATTGCCACTGCTTTAAATTGGCCTAAACCGTAAACAGCACCTCTTTATCCATTCATCTATCAATTCATTCTTTCGAAATCCTCAAGCTCAGCTTAGTCTACCACATTGCCATCGTCATGGGTTCCCAAAGCCTCAATGCGCCAATCCGGCTTGCAATCCTTGAGGCCGATACTCCAGTTCCGGGCATCAAAGCCAAATACCAGTCGTATGGCGGTGTATTCACCTACTTGTTCAAGCGGGCTTGCGCATCACTCCCCAATCCGGTCCCCTTAGAGTCCCGCTTGACTCTCTCTGCTCATGACATTGTCAATGATCTTACGGCCTATCCAGACCCTGAATCCATCGACGCTATACTGATCACCGGTGCTAAGTACAACGCGTTCGATAGCGACGAGTGGATTTCTCGCCTTGTCCAATATACGAAGCGTTGTCTCGAGGGTGGCCGCATCCGTGTCATTGGCATCTGCTTCGGCCATCAGATTATCGGTCGTGCCCTCGGCGCCGAATTGGGCAGGAATACACGAGGTTGGGAGGTCAGCGTTGTCGAGCACGAGCTCACAGACGAAGGAAAGAAGGTCTTTGGCCTGGAAAAGATGGTATGAAAATCCCAAGCCTATCTGGCGACCACTCTTCCCCTTGATGATGACTAACACAATACTTGTTGCAGTCGATCCACCAGATGCACCGTGATGCCGTGCTCTCGTTCCCACCGGGCGTTATCCAGTTGGCACACACAGAAGTCTGCGCCAATCAAGCCATGTATATACCAGGCAGGATGATTTCGGTACAAGGCCATCCTGAATTCACAGAGGAGATGGTGCGTGAAATCCTGGAAATGCGCAAATATGGCGGTATCGTCACCGACGGTACCTACCAACATGGCATAAATCGCGTCGCCAACAAGCAAGATGGCGTCGAAGTCGCACAGGCATTCTTGAGGTTCTTGCACGAATGAAGCATCGCAGGTACAAAAAAAGGAAAGAAATTGATAAGAACAGAAAACAGGGAAGAAACACGCCAGTAGCGGGTAAGCACAGGTGAGTTTATATTCAGCCGTTGGCTTGTGTCCCTGCTGTACGGCTCGGCGACCGAGAACGGCGGGCGTCCAGGATTGCTTGGCCAGCTCTGCGACCTCATTCTTAGTCAGACTCGGATGCAACACGACAGGCGTGTCAGAATGGGTCGCGATCGGTTTAGCTGCCTAAATAGGTGCTGTATCTCCTATATCACGGCAACAGATATATGTGTTGGCTTTTGGTCTTGTTGGCTGCAGAGATGGTATGTCGTTATACCTACATCATAGGATGGTTGATTGGTCTTGGGGGCCCTGGGATACGGCTCTTTATACTCACAGAGTCTCTGTGTCAACACTTCCAACAATTCAATACAGCCTCACTAAGGCTTGGTCAGTCCAGTTATTAGCTTATTAACTTGACGAATATCACAATACCCTTATCCATTATCGGTATCTCTTCGCAAGATTGTATAGATGCGCTATACATAACACTACTCTTGCAATCTTTCATTTGTTTCCAGTGACTCCCCACTTTGCTCAGTTGGAGTAATATGGCTGTTTATACGTTGCTGTTGGGTCTCATTCTGCTTCTTCATGTGAGTGGTAGTGTCAGGGTTCGAGACTAGCACAGCTTCTGGTTGGATCTTATTCCTCCCCTATCACATGATATACTATAGCCATGAGACACCCGTACTACAACTTCAAGCACTTAACACACCCTACCCTACGCCTCTTGTATGCCATTTTCATATGATTAAGCCAGTGCATATGAATAAAGAATATATGCATGTAATCAAAGTTTGTCTAACTCATCGTTAACTCGGACCATGTAAGCTTGTTTCCCTGTGACTTCAAGTCTTACCACTCATCAAGTGAAGAATGCAGCTTTCTGTGACTCAACCACACCACATGACTATATCCAGCGGTGCAACTATCAAATCAGGCCTGCCATGGCCGTCAAAACTTATCTCGTCATACTGTGATAACGAATACAGAAAATCCATGTGAGAATGAATACCTTACTCCCGATGCAATCTAATCGAACGAAGCATGTATCTGTAAGTTGGGCTCAATCCTTCTTATCCAATCTAATTAATATACACACCACTGCGCAACGCCTCAGCCCCAATAGTGATCGACGTAACATACCATCCATGAAGGAGTAATAACAACTGGACAAATTACATGTATGCAGAGGGTCTTATAACCCGGGGTATCATCTAACGAGAGAAGAAACAAGAAAAGGTCGAAGGATATTAGTTTGATAGAGAGCAGCCACAGCCCCATCAACAAACCTACAAAGCAATGACACCAAGTCCCGATTTTTCCTCGTCGTTCTAAGTGTATTGCAATATAGCGGATCATTAGACAGGGCCGTCGAGATGAAGACGCAGGTTAGGCAGACAAGGTAAACAGGCACAGGTCATGAAGCCGCCTCGTCCAAGACATCCCACCACTCCCTCCTCCTACCCGCGCTTCCTTCACCTCTCGCCACATCACCCACGACCCCGCCTTCACTTCGCTCCCCAGCAGTACTACTACTAATCCGACCGCCGGCAGCAGAAGCGATATTCGACCTAAGCTCGAGCCCCATCTCCCTATCCCGTCTCGTGCGCGCCACTCTCTCGTCCACGACGCGCTCGTCGCGGTTCCGCCCCGCGAAGCCACCGCCGGCGTTCCTCCCGCCGCATAGACGCTGGATGCGCAGGCGCTTCGCCAGGTTCTCCCAGAAGCCGCCGCGCAGGTGTTTCCAGGGCCGCTCCCAGGCGCTGAAGAAGGCGCAGTCGACGGCCGCGCCGATGCACAGTGTCGCCATGCTGACGATGCGGAGGGCGAGGGGCTCGTAGGGGAGGAGCGACGGTGATGGCGTCGCTGCTGTTGTTAGGATACGATGGGCGGCGAGAACGGTTATCGAGGGACTCGTCGCTGTTGCTGTTGCTGTTGCTAGGGGGTCGTTGTTCAGTGCCGCCGTGGCGAAGTAGGCTGCTTTGCTGTACCTGTCGTCGTACTGGTATGCGTGCGCCACGAACGGCGCGATCCACGTCAGCAGGTAGATCGCCGGGTACACGAAGAGCAGCCGCAGCTGCCGCTGCATTCGGCCCCGGGAACGCCGCATTGCTTCTTCGGATTCTTCCGTCGGTAAGTGGACGGATGACGAGCCGGTCGTGGTGGGTTCCTCCGCCTCTTCCTCTTTGTAGGCGACGCCCGCTTCCGCGTCGTCCAGATGCGCCGATGATGTCGTAGTGGGCCAATGAGGCCCTTGCCGTAGTGCTGTTATAATATTCGCGAGCGAATTCCTCGGACCTATGTCCGAGTGACGTGCATGAATCCGTTGTTGCCACCTGTTCCGCTGTATGCTAGGCTGGATGTGTGATAACGACTCAACGTCATTATCGCCGGTAATATGTGCTGGCTCCGGGGTGGGAATAGGGGCTATAGGTGTGTCAATCACGGCATTGCTATCATCAGTAATTTCATCAGAGCTTGATCTGAAGAGCTCTATCGTGGGACTGTGAGGGGTGATATCAACAGGTGGTGAGATGCTCGTTGTGGTTATAGGCTTGTCACGTCCAAAGTCGACCAAATTCCAAGTAATAGAATTCCGGCGCTCCACCTTTTTAGGCACGTTGAGCAGGTAGTTTCCCTCGCCAATCTTTAACGTGCTCACAGTTGACGCGTCCGAGTACTGCCGAAACCTTGGTGGGCTGTGCCTGGACATACTGTTGTGTGCAGAGTCGATCAGGCCATGGGTTGTCAAAGGCGGTGTCGCAGGCACACTGCGACTCCTCCATCTGTGTTTTGAATGTCGATGATTAGGTGATCCAGTGGATACTGAGCTCATAGTACTGGCACTTCTCTGATCCTTTCCGAAGCGTCGAAAGCTGATGTAAACATATAAATACAGTCCCGTGTACGTGAAAATGATGAAGCCAAAGATGAAGTAGCGGGGACCCCAGGCAAGTGTATCACTATACCAGCTAGGTTCTACTGGTAAGTAACAGTAGGGTCCGTTGTCGACAAAGCTGGCTCCGGTTATTGGAACAATGGCGGCTAGGATGATGGGTACGGTAGCCCAAAGTGTGTAGGCAACGCGACGGTATGGTTGAAGACCGAAGTTGGCGCCAGTATGCTGGCCTTGGATAATGAATAGGGTCGTATGAATAGCTATCAACAGGACGGCTATATCGGAGGCTTCGATGGAAACAGAGAGGAAAAAGCCAGAGACCTGGCAAAATGCCCAGTGGGAACTCAGGGGTTGGTTGGTGATGAAGTAGAATAAGGGGCTGATGATAAGCCATAGAGCCTTGGCCATGTCGCTCTGTATCAACAGCATGATCATGCTATGTCACGGTTATTACATCCCTGCGGCTAGCCGAAGCAGAAGTTAGGCTGCTTGTCTTTTGATGATTCACTTACTCTTGACGGAAGCCTCTCCTCATCCGAACAAACCAGTAGAAGGCAAATTGAGCAGATAGCACGCTGACGATGGCAAACGATAGGGAAACACACATGACGGCTAGAGTATGCGTATCGGTCGTCTCAACAGCCTGTGTAGAGTCACGCTTCGCTATGTAATCATCGTAGGTGCTGAGTATGATGCTGGTCGCAGCATTAGCGGCGCTTGCCAGCCGTTTGAGAGGTGGCATCGTCGTGAGCCAAGCCGCCAGCCTGCCGTATATAATCGTGCTTGAAGCCTCATATGACCCAGTTCTCTTCGTTTTTCCGAATCACTGAAGCTACGGCCTTCATTTTGGTGCCGCATTCATGATGTCTGGATATGTCCTTCGAGGCATCTATCCGTCCAGCAACCTGTGAAACGCCCTACTATTTGCCAAGGCGACAAGATTTTTTTCAGAATTTTTATTTTTTAGCAAAGAACGCGTGTTGTATATCCTTGTGCGTTCTACGTGGCGTAGATTGAGTATCGGATGGATTTTCGCTTAACAGGATTGGCGATACGACAACAATATGACAGTGGGAAAGCTGCTTTCCTGTGTTAATGGAACACTAGGACAAGCCCGACCGAACTTTCCTCTCCAACGGGAATGAATTCAGAGACTGAAGCTAAACTGAATTCTATGCTCCAAGATCCTTAAGAAGGCACACGTATACCAACCCAGTAGGAGAGAGGCAAAGGAGGGCAAGAAGGTTTACGCTTTGCCTCTTGGCTAGAGTGGTTTGTCAACGTCAGGCCTACGTAAAGTATAACTCTCTCTAGCGGACCTTGGGATTTCTTTCATGTGATCGGGAATTTTCCTTCCGGCGCTTACAGGTCAACTGTGTAGGGAAAGCCCAATGGATCTCTTTGTTGTCGAGTTTTGTTCTTTGAAGACGGAGACGGAAAGTTGTTGCGGAAGAAAAGAAATCCGCGAAAATGACAATTGCACTTTGCCAGTCCCTTTTCCCAAGAAGAGACACATCGTCCGATGTAGAGAACAAGGTAACCAACAATAAACCGCCCGAGAATTACAAATTGCAACAGCACTACCTATTAGAAAGCGGCTCCATCTCTAGTCGATAGTATGACTAGGTTTAAAAACAAGCGAGTTATAAGCAAGCAAGGCATATATGTTTGAGAGCGGCGCATATCCAAGTAGCCGGGCACCTTTCTCCCAATAGGCACGAAAAGACAAGCCAAGTAGGAAGGGCCCCCCATTGCCAGCTCCAGCACGCCGCCTCATCACTTGCCCAATAACCCCACGGGCGCGTGCTGCGTATGAGTTGTAGGGTATGTTGGAACGGGGGCTTGGCTGTTGGTTCCAGGGGTGGCGGCGGTGAGCAAGGAAAGAAATAACAGAAACTTACACCTACCAACTACCGGCGCGTACCGTGGCGGCGGGAGTGGCGAGGGATGCGAGCCCCGCGCGGCAAGGCGTAAAAGAATGAATGACCCTGTCGGCCGCAGCAAAAGGCGCGTAAAATTCCTTATTCGTGCGTACTTATGTATGAGTGGTGAAGTGTGAATTGCGGCAGAAGTGACACCAACCAACCTATTGCAGAGCAATGTCGGTCTTTGTCCCAGGTCTTGGGCCCGATGACTCGTAAATTGAACTGCATTGACATTGCCAGGTGAGAGAAAGTCTGGGTCGGTTCCCTGATCTGATTTGATGCAGACGAGAGTCGCAGGCGGTCAGCCGATCACCTGCGCCAACCAGCATTCCCACCAAGACATCGACGACGATGGGCACAATTCGCTGTCGGTACTCGATATCCCCAGCCACTGGGAGGCGTCATCTGCATACAGTACCTACATTTACCCCTAAGCCCCTAAAACACCACAGCACGATCGGCACCCGCATCAGCTAATCAGACTGCGACACGCCCGCACTCCCAGTGCACGTCCGCCATGGCCCAGAGACTACGTATATGTATAGTGCCCCATGATTTCTTTTTAGCGATGACGATGACGATGACTTGTGAGTTACGCAGGTGCTTTCTTGTCTTTTCTACCTGCATCTCTCATTCCAGAGGTGTGAACAACAAGGGAGAAGTGAAACAAGAATAAGACATAAGGCAGGCAGATACTCCCCAAGGTTACTACTCCCTCCAGGTCGGACTAGCCTCGATGCCCAAACGAGTCTTGATATGAACTATAGGAAAAGAAGATCATTGGATAAGCTGTCCCTCGGTGCAACAAGTATTTACTTTTTATGACCACGGGATTTCACATGCGCTTCGAGGCATTGGAATATGACAAAGTTGGAAGTGAGAAGGCGGGAGGGAAAAAGGAAAAGAATTCAATATAGTTACTTGAGGATCGTCAATAATTTCATCCCTCGCAATGACCAAAGCCCTCCTAATCAGATGTCTACTTCTCTTCGACTTCTCTCTTCATTTAGGTCGTAAATGACTTGCTGCGTTACTTTAAGACACCTTTAAATTCACGCGCGTTGCGTGGGATGAATACACCAAACATACAGACATCAAGACAGATCAAAGTGCCTAAGGGTTCGAGTGACAGACACTCGAAGAGACGTAGAATATATTGACGCATACTACCTCTTTCGTCCGGTCTAGCAGAAACGCTGGGCACTTCTTCCTCCCGTATCTCCGTTTATATTCTAGGTGTGTGTGCTATTTCACCGTGTCGTTTCAGTAAGCGCCTTTGCGCCTTGCAGGCATGCGCGATATCAGACCGCCGGGATTTTCATATCCTATGCATACCTATGCGTATACACGCAGTCAAATCCCCATTGAATTGTGAAACTCCAAAAAAGTAAAAAAAATTCCCACGATAGCCCACCGGTTGACCCCTAATCATGCAGATGATACGCCACGCTGAAAAGCAACGGCTCCTAGATCGCCGTCATTACCATCGATTCCCGTCCATGGTAGGTAGCACGGACTGCGCAGCGCCAAAGAGGTACAATTTTCAATAAAAAATGCCAATAATTATGAGAAAGCCATTCGTATCACGTCGTTCTTACTGCAGCTCTGCCGGAGCGTGCTGTGGCTGTCCTCCCACCCAACCGTTCGCGGAATCGTTGCATCGCGGCGGTGGCGGCGCAACGGGTCTACGATACGGGACATATCCGTACGGCGCCGTCATATTCCCATGCGAATTTCGCTGTACGTAGGGGGGTTGGGAGTAAGTCTGACCCGCAGAGAAACGATTGTTAGGGTGGCCTGCCAGGTACGCGGTATCTGTTGCTTGGAGATCGATCTTCTCCGTTCCCGACTGCGAACTAATCGATCCACTCGGAGACAAATTCGGGCTGGGATTTTTCGAGCATGCCGAAGCGGCCTTTTGACATAGACGATCGACAAGTGCGCCGTGAGCTTTCTTGAGAGTCTTCTTCACAAAGCCTGCCATTACAAAGTTGCAGCGAAGCTCAACATCCTGCATGTACAAGTACGTTCGTTAGTCAACATTCGAGATATAGACATGATATGGCGCATCTCCCACTAAGCCAGCGTAGTAAGAGGTAGAAACAACGGAATGAGAACCAACCTCGCGAAGGTACAGCCCCTGCCTCGGGGCACCGAGCCCTATCTCGACGGGCTCGAGAGGTTCGCCAGGCAGGGTCCCGCCCAGGCTCCAGCGCTCGCGGATATCGGTGCCCAAGGGCGCATAGCAGTGCGTCTGGATGCCGTTGGGCAGGTCGTTAAAGGCAGCGGTATATGCGATCTCGCCTGTCACCAGGCCGCCAGGCAGATAGGAGATCTTGTCCGTCAGGCTCCACCACACGCAGCGTTCCTCTTCTTCGGGAGCATGTGGGGGTGGTGGGATGGGGTGCCGCTCGATGATCAGCGGATTCAAGTCGATCATCTCCTGGTGGTTGTGTAGGAAGTCGATGACGACCTCGCGCGTAATGCCCGAGGGCAGCGGCGAGATGGTCGTAAATGTCGTTCGCTTCGACATGGATCGGCTTTCGTTCTTCGTTGGCCGTTTCTCGAAATGCGTCTCAGGACCCGAGAGAGATGTGTCTTTGCGGCGCGGAGTAGAGCCGGAGGCGGTTCCTTCGCTGCGTAGCCTTTTCGTATGTAATAAAAGATCGGGAGGAGGAGGAAGAGGAAGAACCGTAGCGACTACCTAAGTAGCAAGACACGGGTGGCGCGAACGTAAGGAGTGAATGATTCGTTGGCACACTTCAGCGCCGCGCCGTCCTGTTGGATACCTCGAATTCCAGTTGATTAGGCGGTACCTATTCCTGCTACAGGTTATGGCGGCGTGAGCGGGTATTGGGCGTTTTCTTTGTTGGACTTGACACGACAAATGCGGCGTTGAGCTAGAAAACAAAGTCGAGGTTGAGACAGCCAGCCAACCAAATATGCGTCCTACGGCATACTCTAGTTTATGTGTACTGACAGAGCAAGCTGGAAGACTCTCGAGGTTGAGGCATTAGTATAACAGGGTAGAGGTAGGTATATATTCAGGAGCAGCCGTCCCTGGTTACGCAGCAGGCTCGCATGCTCGCATGCTAACATGCTATAATAAGAGGCGGCACAGACACAAGACTAATCGGGAGACTGCGGTTTATTAAGTACATACATATATACATACATACTGTAGGTTTTAAGATGCGATCTGCGGAATTGGAAAGATAGGTATGGTACGGAAACGGAAACGGAAATGCAAATGGATGGGATGTATCAGATGATGGAGGTCAGCACGCAGCAACAGCTTGTTGCACCGCCAGCACTACCTAGACCCTACTCTGCCCTACCTACCTCTATCTACTACCTACTGAAGGTTAGCGACATGACATCAGTACTAACCTTGACGCAATATTGTACCTAGCAATCCACTGTAACTGCATGCCGTCCCTCCCAAAATAGCAAGGTCAATGACACTCTCCGGGTGGGTATCTCTGCCGTGCCCATCCGAGCCAGGTATCCTCCCCCCCTTCCTCCCCCCACAATCCCGACGAGTAATATCGGTGCTAATTCCGACAAGTTCGAAATGGCTTCACGCGATGCTGCTGTTAGCTACCTATTTCCCCATCTAGTGTATAGTAGGTAAGTGAAAAGCGAGTTAAGAGAATGCCTAGCCTCGTTCAAATCGGCCGTGTTCCTGTTTTATTGCCGCATTCAGCAAACGAAAAACAATCCAGCAGGGTCCTTTTCACAGCGCCGTGCCATGCCTGCCTAGCTTTAGAACTCTGCCCCATCGCCTCGGATTCTCGGACACGTAAGAGTGAACTTGGGGCTCTAAGTATTGGGGCTCGCCTTACATACAGAGGCCTCTGATATGGGTTTTACCATCCCGAATCGGAATGGGAATCCAACCTAAGCCACGCCGCTTTTAGCCTGAGCCTGAGCCCCCGTCCTATGAACATTGACATGAGCAAAAATCTGCATAATCTGTAGGTACTCTATAGAACGTAACCGTTTATTGTAAAACGGATTCCAGTTCGAACATAACAAAACGCAAGCGCAAGCTATTACTACCCCACCTACCATCAATTCATCTCCGCCGACAACGCCGTCCGCATCGACTTTTTCAACGACCCTGTGATCCTCTAAGCCGATCATATCTACAAGGTTGTCCAGTAAGAATGCTTGCGGCGAGTACTTAGCTTTTCTTCACACCGAAAGTGCTGTACTATTATTTCCGTTAAACTTCCCAGTCATCCCAAACATAACCCGGTGCGCGCTGAGGCGGGCATAACAGTGCAATATATAATTCGACCAATATAAACGTAAATGTGATTAACGGAATAGCATACAGTCCTGTATTAGATTTTCTTAATTGTCTCAAAATAAAAGAACAGAATGCAAGCGCTGCACCTATACAAAGTGCAATATAATAGGCAACAACGGATGCCTGGCCTTCGTAAACCTGGAGGCGAGGTGGACCAGGCGAAAAAATGCCATATCGTTCGGATATATGCAACACTTCGGATTGAATATAGTAGCCGCGGTTTGCTATATCGAGAAGGACAGGGTTGAGTTGGCCGTTAACGACTTGATCGCCCCATACAGACCATTCGATAGGCGCGGTTTCAAAAGCAGCTTTAGAAGCCATCGCGACAGAAGGTGCCTATTATTCAAGTACTAGTCAGTCTTTTGATTTATGTACCCATCATCGGCTTAGTAGGCTGCTGACCTTTGACTTGATTTAGAGTTTACCAGGAAGTAAAGGGAGACTTCTTAGATAATATTTTAGAAGGCAAAATGAGAAGATCTCTGAAGGGGCGTCGTTTTATTTGATCGCCGGCTTGGTGGGTGATTTTGAGCTTTGGTTTGATGTGGAGTTTACCAAGGAGTAGGAAAGGCACTTGGATAATCTTTGGGGTATATATATACGTGCCTAATTTTTTTTTTTTAACTTTCGCTCAAGATAAGCATAATGCAGTAGAACAGGCGACCCGGATCTTCACACAAGGTGATGTGTGAAGATCTGGGTCGTAGAGTAGTGGTGCGGCTACATTCAGTTATACGTTGGTAGGTGGCCTATAAGAACACATGGTAGCCCATAATAATAAAACTAAAGCACTCAAGAATAACCAAGGTTGACTAGAGAGCTTGGTTACTATACCACTATATAGCACGGCCTCGCGCTGTGACTGTGTTTGTGTTTGTAGAACTGTAGATAGTAATTAAAGTTACGGAAGTGCAAGGAAATTTCAGCCTAGCTGCATATCATCGCGGATGTATGGAGGTTAGCTGGGCATTACATAATTGAAGGGTCTTATAGTGGAGCGAGGTGGACAGTTCCAAACTGAAGACTGTTAGGATTCCGTTTTAAACCCATGAACCGTTTTAGAACAACTTCAAGTTGGAACTTCGCGCAGACTCGCAGTACATACTTATCTTCTTGCATAAGGATGTAATGCATACATAAGTAATAGTATTACTAGGTATAGTCTGCCTGAGCAAAAGCGGCAAGAGAGCTAAAGTGCGGTGGATGAACGTATGCATGCAAGCAGGTGGTAGCATTACCGCCAACGGACGGCCACTTTGGCCAAGCACCTTCGCCTCCACCCAGCTTCAGCTTACCTAGTGTAAGGCGGTCGGCTGTATCGATATCCGAGCTCGGTACCAGGGAGCATCCGACGGTTCTATCTTTGTTTTGTTTGAAATTTGTTTCCGCTCCTGGCTGCCAGCCTGGCAGCCTGGGGGCGAAACAAACAAGCCCAATCGGTCCCCCAACCCATCTTGGAGAAGCCTTGAGTAGGTAGTCTAGAAGCAACATGGGATATAGGTAGGTACCTCCTCATACCAATATTAATCTAGGTATACGGTAAGTAGTGAACCTGGGTAGCCCTTCTCGTGGTTGATGGGCACGGCACTACATACAGGGCGAACTCAGAACACCCGGGATACTCGAGAGATGCCAGCCATCTCCTACACCAGGCCAGTACCTATAATAGGTGTCACTATATTAGGACAGCGTCGTAGTGCAGAGCGTTGGACAAGCGGTATGCTAATTCTCCGAGCTGGTTGGTTGGCCCGCGTAGCGTATCATTCGGCACCTGTAGTTAGCCAATGTTATTCTACGGTAGATGCGGATGTAGAGGCAAGCCAAGATCTCTTCACTTTCAGTGTCTCTTTACTGCATTAGGGCGTTGATGGATGGATGGATGGAGATAGCATCGCTCTCGATATGGGTTAAATTCTAAATTTGACTACACCATTTTGCCAGGAATCCTGGCAGCTCGACAGCCGATGGGATCTCTTCAAGCAAGACATCCATCCTCCACATCTTGCCCTCGAGCCCTCCATGCGCCGCGTTGGATCTGCCGCCGATGCCGGCAGGGATGAGCAGACCGAGCGATACTAACCGTTCCCATGCCACCACTGCAACGCTCCGGCTCCAAACCCTCGCTCCGGCGCCTAGTGCTAGCAAGCCAGAGCTGGCTGTCTGCACTCGCTGCCTGCCCATCTGGGCGCTGTACTCGTCATACGCCATGGCAAAATTGACAGTATCAGTATGCGCAACAATGTCGAGCCGCGCCGCCGAGATGAGCAACGCTAGCTCGAGATCTGACAAGGCCGCGAGAAGTTGTAGCTTTGGTTCTTGTGGCTCCAATGCAACAACTTCAGTAGGCGAGGGGACTAACAAATCAAGTGATGACATCGACAGTGCTGCTAAAGGCTGGATACATGAGGCTAGGAATGGTGACACGGATTTCGTCGTATAGTAATGATACTCTAGATGATCCTCGAATGCAGGCGTGTGATGGAGGGCCTGGCGCTAGTTAATAAAGATACGTGCAGTCAAGGAAAACCTTATATACTCACCTCGATTTTTTTCTCCCAATAGTCATGGAACTCGTAAAGCCCCTGGAGATCGGTATCAAAGCCTTCCGCCCCGAGGTCCTCTTTATCTACTATCAAGCCCTGTCTACATATATCCCAATAGGCTGGCAGCGATTTTGGGAGAGACAGGTAAACGTAACGATGACTGAATCGACTCTTGACTCGCTTCTCTAAGCTCTCGACAACATCGATTCTAGTCGTCAGCCCAAGCACGGCTATAGGAGCTTTCCTTGCTTGAGCAATATCGAACAGGTTATAGAGTAGTGTCTGCCGAGCATGTGTGGCAAACAGCTCAAACTCGTCGATTATGAAGACTACCGACTTGGATGTCACACCATCTTCGGCTCCTGTGATCTCTTCTGGGTGAGATAAAAGAGCCAAGAGAGAAGCCATGGTATCGGCATAGTTGCTGGTCTATTTGCATTAGTTCCCGTGATAAAAGAGCACAACTTGATAACCAGGGTATCCTACCTTATTGACTAGATCGTCTTCAATCTCCATTTCCTTGCCTAGCTGGCGCCATATCTCTTTCAATGCAAGCTTATCATCTGTATGTATAAATCCGTTAAGGCGAATAACGTGAAATTCTTCCGCATGCTCATTTCGGAGATTAGAAAGAATTTCTTCCATCATCTGTTACGCGTTTTAGCCATGATAACCGGTCAGTTGATGTGGTGTACCTACGGTCGTTTTCCCGCAACCGCGCCCCCCAATGACCATCATGGAGTTCCCTTCGCCAGCCAGTACTGTTTGCTCCACCAGTTGATATGCCTTATCAAAAGCTTCACTCTGGCCACAGAGCTTTATCCGCCGGTTGCTAGAGCACCGGTCTAGTAGCACACGTCGCATTTGCTGAAAATGTTGTTCAAAGTTAGGTATAGCAGGAATGGCTGTAGATATGGTGACGGTAGCCTTCTTCTCGGTTGTATTCTGGCGATCGTGCAAGATGTCCTCTTGCGAGCAAGTTCGACAGATCCAATCGCCTTCGGGTATGACTGGGACGTTGTAGCACTTCTGATGGAATCCAGAATCGCAAACCTCGCAAAAAATGATCTCATTCGGCGGCTCCGAATCAGGCTTCGAGCATATAACACACACCTCCTCGTCTTCTTCCTCTTGCCCGCTACCCTCTTCAAGCTCTTCAGGTTCTTCAGCTTGTTGTATATCTTTCTCCCTGTCCCCGTTTAGTGATATGGGGTTCTCTATGGGTGAGCTCGGCCTCTCAATGGTAGAGAATTTCACGGGTCTCGGTGTTGTTTCATCTTGTAGAATATCTGAGTTGACTTCGTCACCCTCATCGAACACCACAGTCTTTGCTGGTCGACCAGGTTTCCTCTTTTTAGGCGACAAAATGCCCTTCAGCTTCGGCGACTCGGGAGCGTTAACAGAATCCGTCTTCCCTGTAGGCCCATATATACGTGCCTTGACGGCTAATGGAAATGGAGAGAGCTCTATTTGACTCGGACGCACTTTTGGCGGTCGCCCCCTTTTGCGCGGCGTAGTCATGCTTCCCTTGTTGTTGAGAGGTACTGCAGTTCCCTTGCCGTCCCGTTGTGCAGTTGTAGCGCGCGCCGATACGCTTTTCGGGTCACCATTGACAAACCTTCGTTTCGACGGCGTCACAGGATTGCTTTGTTCGTGTGCCTTTCCTGCTGCTCTTGGAATCTCTAATTCATCACCGGAGTCCGGCACATCGTACAAATTTTCGGTTGCCGACGACTTTTTCGGCAGTATCCCGTAGTCCAGCTTCTTCGGTTTACCTGAAACCCCTTCTATTTGTTCTTCGTCATCGTCACCGTCGCTAGCAGGTACGTTATACGAGGACTCGGCTGTCGTGCCGTCATGTTCGCCGACCAGTTTCCCTTGGGCTCCGTTGCGCCGTCCGCGACGGCCAAGTGCACCACTAATGGCTGAAGAGATCGCGGAGAACCCCTTTGGAGTCGATGATGGTGAGTCGGCGACATCATTTAAGCGGCGCCGCTTTGCGCTTGTTGCTACGGTAGATGGCGAGGGAACTGGCGACGATACCAAGTCGTCTTCTGGTCGGGCTCGCTTTCGGCGGCCAGAGCCAGGGGTTTGGTTGGGAGCCATATCATTATAGCCGACCGAGTTTTGCGTGTATCAGTCCAACAAACTCATCGCGTATTATTGGTATGGAGTGCGCATCTTATGACTATTTGTGGGAGAGCGAGACGCGTGAGAATTTGAGGGTGTCGAATGGCGTAGCGTTTCTGCTAGCAATTGAATTCATAGATGCATCAGTAAGTGAACGCGGTCAAACGCGACGCTGGAGTGCAAAGGGTTAATTACTGCATGTCTAGTGGGGTCGGGGCATCTCCAGGGTAGGGTCCCCACGGAGCATAGCATTCGACATTAAGACCCGCCACAGACTTCAACCAGAGTTCAGAAAGTAAGGTAACAAGATTGTCATTTCTCTCTACAATATAATTCTTAACTCTAGTGAACTTACATGACCCCAAACTTATTGGAATAATGGGGGAAAAAAAGGAGCGGAAAAAAAGTCTTTATGCTAGCTACCTACTTACATAAAGCTCAACGTAAAAGCTGTTAGTTGGATCTACCTAAGCATTAGCACACTTCGTGCTATTGGCAACACCGACAACGATTTGTTATCAAGGCACGTACGAATCAAAGAATTTCATATTAGCTAACCAAGCGTTCTCTCCTGTATACACTACTCTCGAAGTCACATAAGTTTCGTGACATCGAATATCTTGCCTCTTTCTGACTCAGCCCTGGCTATCGAAATCGCCCTATTCTTTAAATCAGGAAATCCCTCCTCTTCAATAATCTTATTCATAGGGTGTATTTACCGCCGAGATGAGACCGAGGAAGGGCACGCCTCTTATTCTTTTTCATAATCTTATCCAACTCCCTGTCTCAGCCACAACAACAAGCATCAATACCCAGACGGATCTTGGAATGTAAAGGCTTATAAGACCGCTTGATTACATGTCTCTTCCTACGGAACACCTTTGACATGTGCTTCAATAGCGTGCGTCTACATCTGATATGGAGATATGTGAAAGCGAAAGGATCACCAACTGCGTAGCTAAGCAGATTGAACCCAGAGTGAGAACAAGGACGTGACAGAAATCGTGTATTATTCAATTTAGACATTACAAGTAAAGTCACAAAACCAGAAACTCCAATAGACGCCAACCAATCATAAAACCCCCATTTCTATAATACATGAGCCAGAAAATAAGAAACATAAACTGAATCCCTGATTCTATCACTCGCTCAAATAGCGAACTGAGTACTCATTGTCTGTATTGAAGCCTTCGGACCCTGCAGGCCCTGTGTGTAGTACTACATGCCTAGGTGAACATAGACCGAATGAGCGAGGCATTTGCCGTACACATCCACCTTAGAGCCCGAAAGCAAACACAGCAGCAACGGCGGCAACGAGGCCATGTACGTTGCTGCTTCCAACTAGCGAGGCGCCGCCGACCTGGACATACGATGGGTGGGGAGAAGGGCTGGGGATTTGGACGGGAATAATGGCGGTAGGAGTGACTTTTGGCGGGGGAGCAACCTGGACTGGTGGTGGTGCTGGTATGGCTGGTAACGTGTACTCCGGCGGGCAAAGAGACGAGGTCATAGTCGGGACAGTCTGGCACGCAGTGTTGTTAGTCTTCAGGAGAAATTCGCCCACGACTCATAAATACCCAATTCCCAGCGGCCATCCACGAACCAACGCAATACTAACGAGGACATACCGTAGTAACAGTGCAAGGACAGTTCGTGACGACGATGTGCTGGCCCTTGGTAGCAGGATACTCGCAGCCGTTGAAGGTGAGCGTAGTAGCCTCCTTGCACACGGTCGTGAACTGCTGAACAACCACCACCGTGGTGACAGTAGTGTTGAAGTAATTCCAGACGGGAGCGGTTCCGTTCCTGCCAGCAGCCATCGATGGTGAGGCAGCAGCAGATGATGATGATGACGATGTCGAGGACTGCGCCGTGACGCCAGCAGCCAGGAGACCGGCGACGGCTAGGATGTTCATGTTAAAATGCATGTTTGAAAATGGCCGATACTAGGTAGCAAGAATAGCAAAAGAGTGATAATAATGGCCTGAGTGGTACGCGAGTTTTCAGATGTCAAAGACCGTGAGGACAGCGCGCAAGGAAACGAGAGTTGTGGAAAGATAGTAGGTAGCGAGAGAAATGCATGTACTCAACCTGGGGCGGTATTGGATGCTTATAAGACCGGAATTCTAGAGGTTCAAAGTTATTGAAACAACAAATCTGAGAATCTGTAATAAAACATTTTCTGGTATAATAGCGAAAAGGGGCCGAGGTCTTAAATGAGGCTCCCTACTGTCTTGGAATGCACACGACTCCATGACGATCCTTCCTTGTGTCATTTCATTCCAATCATTTCCCTGAGGGCTGGCAATGTTTCGGCCCTACACTGACTGCTTCACCAATAAGTTGCTCCCTAATTTGAGAATGAGTCTCGTATTATTTTTTCCATGCCGCTGCGGATGACTAAGTTTGTTCAAAGCCAAACATTGTATGTACATAGCCACTAGATGCTGCGGGCAGTTTTCCTTTGACCAGATACCATTCGGTTGGATGCTTGCGTACTAAGGACGTGGGATACGCCTCCCCTCTATATCCGCGTGAAGTGCGAGCTTCATCGTCACACTCGACTTGAGAGACCATGTCATTTTCATATTCTATCACAAAGTCGCCCTTCTGCTTCCAATGCTGTGTAGTGGTCCCGACTTATACTCCGATGCGTACCACAGTCTCTCAAGCTTGCACGCAGCTAGCCGTTGCCTTTCTGAAGAAGTCCATATACACTGAAATATCCCCTCTTCGCCTTCTTCTGTCATGATAAAATGTCAGATAAGCCAATTTTATGACTGTTGTTGGTTCTGAACTCCGGTCGAGGGTGTCTCTATGCTAGTTTATCCTTCAACGCCTATATCTCCAGGAAAACAAGAGGTTCCAAATTCAATATTCGCAAAGATTGTGGTATTAGTAGTTAACAGTAGGCGGCTTGCATGCAGTCTCGTAGCACGTTAAGAAGAGGGATCCAAGCGACACCTTATTCAGGCAGGCCTGCTATAACTTTTAACATTATTCATGGCCGTGCTTGTGAGCGGTAAAGGCTTGGTTAGCGTAGTTGAGTCTTTTTACTGTTAGATCGGCTCTGGCTTCTTTCAGGACCGCGGTTGCCTCCGACGACGATAGAGTCGAAGTCGTAGTTCTTTAATGTGTGCTCGTACTTGGTATTGCGCAAGAATTTAGGCACCGAGTCCTGTATATCATATCAGCACAGATCCACATCCATTTCGAAGCGCCGTGCATCAACTTACACTTGCCATTAGTTTGAAAACTGCATTCTGAGCATCTTCGAAGAGCCCCGTAACTTCATGTAGAGTATCGATCATGGCAACATCTTGCCCAACAGCCTTCGTCATGCGGGTAGCCAGGTTACTCCGTAGCTGGTGGTCAATGTTCAACTCGCAAGGAGAGCCGGGTGCTAGGAAGGCGTTATAAATGCCGTAGGCTTGGGCCATGATTTCCTTGATGCCATCCATTGACGTAGAATTTGGATTCTTTTGAGCCGATTTGATAGCACCAACACAAGCACGAACGAACTCTTCGACATCCAAGTAAAACGACAAGTTCTCTTCACAGTGAGTTTCCCGCAGGTTTTCGCGGAATAGCAGTCTCAGGGCCGCATCATTCAAGATCTTGTCGAGGCGCTGAGTGTTGGAATCTCTGGCGACACCAGGACGTACAGATTGCCCCAGGCCTTCGCTCTCTGAGGTTCGACCCCTTCCGGTACCGCTGAGAATCTCCTTGCCCCGGGTTGTTAATTGGTAGATCGCGTTCTTGGTCGGCTGGAAAATAGCTGCCGATGAAGAAGTCGCCATGTAAGCCCGGTCTGCTTGAATAGATTCCATCAACTCGTACTCAACAAAGAGTGATGCCATCTCGTAAGTCTCACGCCTATCAACGGTTGTACAACAATCCATTAACCAGTCTGAGCAACCCTTCCCGGTGAATGTATCCCTGTATATCTTGCCATTGACCTTGCGCTCACTGGCCATTTTTACGCCTGTTAGACCATCCCTATAATCGCTCAATGAGTCGGAATCAGCGGCGTTAACGTTCGATTTGATGTTCAATCCTCCGCTCGCGCCACACAACCGCCTGAAAACGACTTCCATCGTGCCCCGATCCATGACCAATTTATCTGTTGTAGGATCTCTTTCCAGAATACAGAGATGGCTTGATCCTTGAGCAATTAAGTCCCCTATTTGCCTTTGCTGAATTCCATTTCGTGAACAGAAGCGGTCAAGGACACATACACCCTTTGGTGTCAATTGCCATACAGCGCCCTTCATAGTATAGACCGCCTGTAACTTGCCATCAGCTGATTCAATGAACCTCGCATCCAAGAACCGTTGACATATCGATCTAGCCATATCCTTAGCCATAGAGAACGTAGTTGTGGTGGTAGTTGTTACGATGCGAGTGGGGTCTTTCGGGTCAGGCATCCGATTAGACTGTGAGAATTTGAGGGAGCCAAGATTGTTGATTGCATCTTCAGACAAGAATGTATGTTCCACCCTTGTTAATCGTACTCGATGAGGTGATAGTGGAAGCAGGCTAACTATCAATGTCGAAAATAAATCTTTGAAGTCCTGCGTTGTAACCGTATGTTAGGAGCGACCAATAACTTGAATACTCAGAATTTCGTTACGAATAGTTAAAGGATATTCGGGTTATTCAGAACGGCAACATATTATACAAATATTTATGAAGAAGAAAAATTTGATATACCAGCAATTAAACACAGGAATGGCTTACACGAGTGAAAGGGCGATCGTCATCCGTCATGCGGAGTAGCCGAGAAGAGGTTTGATGCATCTTGTTATGCCCACCAGATACCCGAACAGGAGGTGGTTGGCCAGCGTCTGTTTTGGAGTATGGTGTCGAGATGGGGGTTTTCAAATGCGCTTGAGTCAACCGCTGTGCGTCGGCAGGACTTAGAGGGACTGGGGTGGAAGATGTAGATGATCCTCCGCTCAGATTACGGGCTTTTGAAGGCTTGTCTATATTCGTGAACTGGGTGTTTGTAGGAGACTCGAGGGCTAGCGAGAAGCGATCGAGTGCGGAAGAAGACTGCAAATTGCGGATGAGAGGTTCGGTACGGCTCGCGATAGTCCTATCCAATGCGGCTGCAGCAAACGCGAGCAAGCCTACGGGCTTTTGCGATCGAGGCGGACTAGTTAAAACAAGGTATCAGTTAGTTGGGTTCTAAGTTACGGCGACAGAGCGGAATAGCTAGATTGTGGCACGACAACATCGAGCCGTCGAATGAGGGTGGGACAGAAATAACACATGAAATGCCCACCTAGGTGGTTTGACACCAGAAGCAGGAGCCCCGGTAGGTGTGGTAGCGACAGTGCCAGCGCCGTCTGGAGAAGCAGCTGTTCTTGAAACGGAGCCAGAATTTTGAACAGCAGAAGTCAATGGTTTTGTTTTCGTTGTGGTGCTGGTAGTGTTTGCGTAGGACGATTGGCTGTGGAGCACTAGCGACTGTGGCTGGGAGGTTGAGAGCGGTGGTGCTGAAGTTGGAGTTGGCGACGGTGAGGGATGATGATAGATGGTAGCCATCTACCCACGAGGAGTCGAATTGTACGAGGAGAGGGTCTTTCGAGTCGGGACTAAGCCGTGCTATGTTGAAACAAATTACGGCAGGGACATCGAGAAACCCAACCAACCAGCAAATCGTGGATCCAGGTATTGTAGCAGGCAAGTACACTACTTTAAAGCAACGAGATTATCAAATACCGAAGGTGTAGCGTCTGGTATGGTATGGACGCCGCGTACCAGTCCTGGCTGTTTAGGGCAAACTAATGTGAATGTGGGCTGGGTCGGCGGTAGCCCGTGTTCTATGTCGAATATAAGTAAGTGTGGGTGTAGGTAGGTATTGTAGTATTGTGCGTGGAAGTACTGCACTGTCCACCAGAAGTACGGTACGAGGGACGGCGGCGGGTAAGAGAGTGAGAAAGGGAGAGATATAGCCCAAGGACCTGATGTCACTCTTACTTACTACTGTCTACAATCTGCTAGGGCTGGGGTTCGCCGATGCTGCACATCCAGAGTGAGACGAGCGTTGGGAGGGGAGGAGATAGACAATGAGTGGACGACGGAGGGAGAGGAAGAGAGGACAAGGTAGGTACACCGGCAGTGGTGAAAAGGGTTCCTCAGACAGTATGTACCTAGCGTACTAGTGGAGCGGGCGTTTCAGGACGACAAGGCGATGGCTTCGAGTAGCTCCAAGTAGTGTCCAAGTAGTGTGTAGAAGATGAAGGAGAAGAAGAAGAATGAAAAGCAATAAGAAAGCAACAACCACGGTCTGTCTAGTAGGTTACAGTAGGTTGATGTAGGTATTGTATGTATGTACAGTAGTACATGTACACACAGCACACCCCAGTCCCGGTTTAGACAGGGAGATCTACTATGTAAGTAGACAGACAGTGGGTAGGGTAGAGAGATGAGAGGACTAAATACTGTAGTGTAGGTAAGTCTGATACCAGCTGGGTCGAGCTAATTATGGCCCGTAAGAGAAGATGCTGATGATGATGCTGATGATGATGAGGATGATGATGATGAGGGTGGCAGACTGACTGCCTGACCGGCATTGACGAGAAGCGCACAATGGACTGACTAACCGACAGACTGACAGACAGACAGACAGACGGACGGGCAAACAGACTCTCTGACTGGAAAGTTGAGTGACAAGAGAGGACAGACAGATGATGAGGTGAGGAGAGAGAGGACAAGCAAGTACCTACCTAGAGGTAGTGTACACAAGTTGTCGTCCCACGACAGCAAGTAAGTACTTACACCAAGTACACCAAGTACTACACAAAGAAAGCCTCCATTCTCCATTCTCCATTCAACATTCGAACAATGACTTGCCCCCCCTTTCCCACCTTTCTTCCCACCTTGCCCACCTTTTGCCTGGCAGGCCTGGCAAATCAACCCGACAGGGCCATGTGCTCGTCAGGTACCTACATGCAGACAGTGTGCAGTGTTCAGTGCTCGAACACCACCCTACCCGTGTATCACTTGCTCCTTTGGGAATAGCGTGCAGTGTCTTAGCCCCATTGCTGCCACTTCTGCCCATGTTGTGGCATTCTTGCCTCGTGCGCCCAGGGAGGCCACTATAAACCTCGTGCAGGCCCCTTGTGTTGTACTCGGACTTACGGAGTACAAGCGCGGGAATCCCAGGGCTAGCAGCATGCACTGTGCAAAGCAGACAGAGAGCAGAAGAAAGAAACAGCTGGCAGCCCGTGGCCCTCTTTTGCCAGCCTGCCTAAGTACCTACAGTACATAGGTACTGTAGTCGAGTACCTACCTACCTAAGGTACTATGTAGGATGTACATATTATGCACTACGGTTCCTAGCAGTGTGTCAAACATCATGGGGAATCCAATGGTGACTATGGCCCTTATGAAGAGACTACCATAAGTAGAGATATCTTCCAAGGCCTGTTGTCACGGCATAGCCAAGAATTCTAGCGTCCTTGATGCTGGATGCTCTGTAGTGCACACTAAGTACACAGGGGCTCAGCCAAGGTAGCGGTACGCTTACCCCACTTGAATTCCCATATAAACACCACAGCGCGCATTCCCAAACGGAGGTCGCTCGACTTAGCTGCTCCTGTCGTATACCAGATAATGCGGGCAAGCTAAAAAGGTGTAGTTGTTATTGGTAAGTAATTCTAGCTAGCACTGTGGCCAGGGAGGGGTAGAATTAAATACAGTGCTTCTAGGAATGGGTTCCGTAACTGGTCCCCCCATCGAGCTAGGCGCCCACGCCTATATAAGGCTAAAACTAAAATTATAAGATTATATAAGGCTAAAACTAAAATTATGAAATCCTATTTTATAATTTAATATTTTATCCTATAATTTAATAAAAAGTATTGTATTTATATTTTATAACTATTCTATTTATATTCTACTTTATCTCGATTATGAAATTTCTATCCGGTAAAATTGTATATAAATCCTAAGCTTTAATAAGGATTATTCCACTTATATTTTAGATTATTCCAATTATAAAAAATCCATTTAGTAAAATTATATATAAATCCTATATTTTAATTAAAACTATTCCACTTATGTTTTAAATCATCCTACTTATAAGATTTTTATCCAATAGAATTATATATATATATTTTAAGCTTTAATAAGGATTATCCTGCTTTTATTCTAAATTATCCTATTTATAAGATTTCTATCCGGTAGAACTATATATAAATCCTAGGCTTTAATAAAGATTATTTTATTTATATTTTAAATTATCCTAGTTATAAAAAATCCATTTAGTAGAATTATATATAAATCCTATATTTTAATTAAAACTATTCCATTTATATCTTAAATCATCCTATTTATAAGATTTCTATCCAGTAGAATTATATATAAATCCTATTTATATTTTATTATTTTAGCTATTATCCATTATTAGGTTATTGTTTATAATATTTTATACGTTATTAATGTAGATGGCCTTTTCCTTCCCTTTAAATTTAATATTAGATTTTAATTTAATAGCCTTTCCTTTCCTTTTAGGTTTAATATTAAATTTTAATTAAAATTTAAATAAAAATACTTTAATTAATTAAGATAGGGATCTAAATAAAAATATTCCTCTTAGGTTAATAAAAGTAAATTAACTTCTTATAAAAGTATATTAACTTTAAATATAGGATATAAATAATTTTATAGTTATAAGTAGGATAATAGTAGGGTAAAATAAAGAATAAAGAAATTCCAACTTTTTTATACATTCTTTTAAGCTTATATTTTTACTTTTAGCTTTTATTAATTTAATTTATAAATTTATAACCTTTCGGATTATTAATTAAATTATAGCTTATATTTAAGGCTAAATAGTAATTATTATAAACTTAGCTATATTTTAAGGTAAAGCTAAAGCTCCCCCTATTAAAACTTTATTAAGGATAGCTATTATATATAATTTAATAATTCCTTTAAATAGTCCTTTATATAGGCTATTTTATAATATAGCTTATATTTATTTAATTATAATTTTATATATCTTATATATTTCTTTTATTATTTTAAAATTATTTAATATTAAGATTTTACCTTCCTTTTTAAAGGCTTTTAATTTCTATTAGTTTTTCTTTAGGATATAAGCATATTTTACCTTTAATTTTAATCCAGCTTCCGCTTTATTTAAATAGTTAATAGGATAGTTAAATATTAGTTATATATATTTAAACGTAATTCCTTTTAATTTGGGTTAAAAAGTTTAAATATATTATTAATATAATTAAGAAGGCTGCTATATCTATAAAATAAATTATTAACTTTATAGATTAGGTTATTAATTTTATAGGATAAGTTGTTAGTTTTATAAAGTAGGTTGTTAGTTTTATAGAATAGGTTATTAGGGTAGTAAAAGGAACAGTCCGGATCCTCTTTTAAGGGATGCTATATTTATATAGTTCTTAAAGTTTTGGATTTATTTTTAGGATCCCTTTTTAATAGTTGCCATTTGGGCTTTAAGATTTTAGATTTACTTTTATAGTTCTAATAGTACTAGGGGTATATTTAGATTTTTATTAATAGTTATCTTTTATTATTTAGGATCTTTAACTTTTTTAATAGCTTTGTTTTCCTTTTTTAAGGTATTAAAGTTAGGATTAGCTTTAAACTATAATATAAAGTATAATAGGATAGTATAGCATCCCTTTAAAATAAATAGCTATAGTAGTTTTATATTACGTATAAATGCTTTTAATATAGGCGGGAATGTGCTATAGCTTTCTTTAAAATCTTTAATAATTTTAATAGCCTTTTAAAAAGCTAATTCAATATAGGATTTAAGGGTAATATTTTTATAATATATTTAATTATACTAAGATATTAAAACTTTAATAATTTGGATAAAAGTCTTTATTTTAAACTATAATGCTATATTAAATAGCTTAATAAATATAGGAATATAGTATAAGTATTTTATTACCTAGTTTATTTTAATGTTTTTTTAAGGATTAGCTATATATATTAAAATAAATATTTAATAAG